GCTAGCCGAGACAAATTTTTTAAGAGCACTTCCAGCAAAATTTCCTTACTTCGCAGACTACGGTGTATTTTCCAAGGCCTATTTGCGGCCACAAAATGCGCTAAATTCCCATTGCCAGCGCAAAAATAATGCTATGTGAAATTTGCACAAAATGGGGACACGGGCCCGCCCCCGACCAACGGGCCCCATTTCCATAATTTGGGTCATTTGGCGGCGCCAAAAAATTGGCGCCGTGGAAATGGGGGTGGTGGTGTTCTTTTCATGTCTGTTTGTTTGAACGGAAAAGAGTGAAAAGTCACGTTTAGTTGTCTGGTCGAAGCCTAAGCTTAAGCAAAGCACAAGCCTAAGCCTAAGACTAAGCTTCAGCTCGAGCCCAAGCTTGGTCTGAGAGATAGCGGTATAAAAGAGCGAGGAAAGAAGCACGGGGCAAAGCACCAGCAAAAGACAAAACTTAGCAGAGATCTTTTGGAAAACAATTCAGACGACGGTAGCCAGTCCGTGCCATAACTTATGACCAAATTGAAGAGCCACAACAACGACATTTGAGATAGAAAGAGAGAGAGAGCGAGAGAGAGAGAGAGAGAGAGAGAGAGAGAGAGAGAGAGAGAGAGAGAGAGCAAGCTATGCCCTATAACCTGATTAGTTATTTCGGGGTGAGCCCACCCGGATGGGCAATGAATTTGCTGCAAAATCCGGAAAACAGAAACCAGATGCGTGGGCTTTGGGGGGTGAATTCCGAATTCGAAAGTTCAATGATCTCCGCCAGCGTGCCCCTTCCATTCCCAAATGATCTCTGCTAGCCTGCCCCTTCCATTCCCAAATGATCTCTGCTAGCCTGCCCCTTCCATTCCCAAATGATCTCTGCTAGCCTGCCCCTTCCATTCCCAAATGATCTCTGCTAGCCTGCCCCTTCCATTCCCAAATGATCTCTGCTAGCCTGCCCCTTCCATTCCCAAATGATCTCTGCTAGCCTGCCCCTTCCATTCCCAAATGATCTCTGCTAGCCTGCCCCTTCCATTCCCAAATGATCTCTGCTAGCCTGCCCCTTCCATTCCCAAATGATCTCTGCTAGCCTGCCCCTTCCATTCCCAAATGATCTCTGCTAGCCTGCCCCTTCCATTCCCAAAGGATCTCTGCTAGCCTGCCCCTTCCCCTCCCAAATGATATCTGCTAGCCTGCCCCTTCCCCTCCCAAATGATATCTGCTAGCCTGCCCCTTCCATTACCAAATGATCTCTGCTAGCCTGCCCCTTCCATTCCCAAATGATCTCTGCTAGCCTGCCCCTTCCCCTCCCAAATGATATCTGCTAGCCTGCCCCTTCCCCTCCCAAATGATATCTGCTAGCCTGCCCCTTCCATTACCAAATGATCTCTGCTAGCCTGCCCCTTCCATTCCCAAATGATCTCCGCTAGCCTGCCCCTTCCCCTCCCAAATGATATCTGCTAGCCTGCCCCTTCCCCTCCCAAATGATATCTGCTAGCCTGCCCCTTCCATTACCAAATGATCTCTGCTAGCCTGCCCCTTCCATTCCCAAATGATCTCTGCTAGCCTGCCCCTTCCCCTCCCAAATGATATCTGCTAGCCTGCCCTTCCCCTCCCAAATGATATCTGCTAGCCTGCCCCTTCCATTACCAAATGATCTCTGCTAGCCTGCCCCTTCCATTCCCAAATGGTCTCTGCTAGCCTGCCCCCACCTAGTGCCATCTTCTCCCAGCCAAAACCCGTGGATGGGTCAAAAATTTATGGTAATAGATTCTGGAAAAAATGGCGCCTTTGGGGGGCCATTGGCATCGAATGGAAAACAGCCGAAAAATGGCCCATCCATCCCGGCCAAAAACGGAGGGATGCGTTTTAAGGAGAAGCCTCGGCATAGGGTTCGTATAGTCAAAAGTCGAGAATTCGAGGGCAGGCTAGCCGAGATCATTTGGGAATTGAGCTTTCAGAGCAAAAATCTGCTTCCCCGTCCCTAGGCGCCAAAAAACAGCACTGAATTCACACAATCTGTGGAATTCAACTACGGTATCTGTTTGGGGCCATCAAATAGAATTTTCAACGGCTGCCCCCGGGGGCCAATCAGGAATCGTAAGACACAGGGCTTGGCCGGCTTGGCCCGAATAATTGAGGAATCCCGACGGCCGGAAAGGGCCACAAGGAACGATTCGCGCTATTTGGCCGCCTGAATTTCGGGTCCGGCATCAAAAAACACGAATTTTTAGGGCGTTTAAAGGGACCAGGAAGGCTAGCAGAGAGCAGTTAGGAAGCTAGAAGAATGGCGAGCGGTTGGCAGCGAGCAGGGATCTTTTGGGACTGATGACCGCGTGGCGGGCTAGCAGAGATCCTTGAGGATGCAGGACCCGAAGTTACGGCTGGTCAGACAGCTAGCAAAAGCTCTTTGCGGATTTTCGTAAGTGAAGGTTGCTAGCAGGGTAAAGCCTAAATCTAAGCAAAACCCAAGCCCAAGCCTAAGCCTAAACTTGACCTTAACGTGAACTTAAGTTAAGCCTAATCCTAAGCATAAGCCGCAGCTTAGCCCAAGGTTAAGCTAAGCCTAAGCTTAGGGCTAAACCCAAGCCTAAGCCTAAGCGTAAGACAAGCTTAAGCCTAAGCCTATGCCTATGCCTACGCCTAAGCGAAGTCTTAGCGAAGCCTAAGCCTATGCCTATGACCAAGCTTAAGCCTAAGCATAAGCTAAGCTCCTTAAAAACAAACTTTTTATGATTAGAGCTGGGTTCCGGCTCCGCATCATATCCCCAAAAAAATATGGCTCAAAACATTGAATGCAGGGAAAATTGGGGATGGTGGTCCCGGGAGAATGGCCAGGCGCTGGCCCCCTTAAATTCGATAAATTTCGATTTAAGCCCATTTATTCCGGGTTTTCCGCCCCTCGAGGAGATGATTCGATTTTGGGGGTGGCGCATCGCTGTGATCACTGGCGGGTTTTTTGGGTTATGTTATTCTGGTTGGGATTTCGATGGAGAAAGATGGGGCAGAGTAGCAGAGATCATTTGGGAATGGAATGGCATTTGGGAATGGAATGAAACGGCAGACTAGCAGAGATCATTTGGGAATGGAAGGGGCAAGCTAGCAGAGAACATTTGGGAATCTCAATGGGGTCGACAAGTGAAAGGCTGACAAAGATTTGGGCACAGAAAGAGCGGCTAGCAGATATTTAGATAGGTCCAAAACCTTAAGAACCCGAACGGCATTCCCGGTGGCTTGGCTTCCGAAAAAAGAAACCACGAGACGCCCCTGGGGCGTAAAGCAATTGTCCGGAGGAGCGTCCCGTTTTCCGGCCCATCCGTAGCCCACCGGAATACGGAATACGTTCGGAGGTGCCCGACGGAAATTCTGTTTTTCTTTCGGGGGCAAACACGAAAAATAGGTTAGCATCGGGAGCATTCGGGGCCAGAGGTCAAGCACACTGAGGCCGAAGTCTGAGCCTAAGCCAAGCCTAAGCATAAACCTAAGCCTATGCCCAAGTCCAAGCTAAGCCTAAGCAAAGCCTAAACCTAAGCCTAAGCCAAGCCTACGCCTAATCCAAGTCTAAGCCTAACCAAATCTTAAGCCTAAGCCCAAGCATACGCCCAAGCCTAAGCCTAAGTCAAGACGAAGCCTCAGTCTCAGTCTAAGCGCGAAACCCAACGAAAAGTGTTTCCAAATCGCCGGCACCGGGTCACTCGACCGGAAAACGAAGTCTATTCCCGGGGTGTTTGTCTGTGCATCCGTTTCTCTGTCCGTTAAGCCCAGGGCCACATTCCGGGAGGAGCCTCAATTTGATAAGTGACGAAGCAGCCTCGGGGGGTGGCTCGAGAAGACTGGGTCGTTTAAAGGGCACCAGAAGGAGGCGGGAGCTTGGCTTGGGCTTAGGTTTAGGCCTAGGCTCAGGCTTAGGCTTAGGCATTGGCTTGGTTTAGGATTAGGCTAGGGCCTGCCAAAAAGCCCTCGAAAATGGACACCAAAAATCAAGGAGTAAATTGGCAATGTTTGGAATCGCGTTTCCGGCCATCCGAGAAAACCTAATTTATCCCAAATTGCGGGAAATAGCCCCAAAAAGTCAAAGTTGATGGAAAAAGCCGGGTTTTATTCTAGTTTTGGTGTTTTCGGCAGAGAAAGGTTGCAAAAAGAAAAAGACCCCGAAGGCTGTTTTGGGCGAACTTTCTCCAGAGCTAGCTGTTTCGGGGTATGATTTTTCGAATTTCCGTATAAAACTACATCGGAATTTGCTTTAAAATAATTGTTAGAAAGCGAAAGAGTGGAGAGACGGCGGGAGAAAGATGTTGCGACAGACCGGTCGTGGTCTGGTTTCCGAAAAACGTCCGTCGCGGTCCCTTTAAACACGAAGATCGTTTGATATATTTCTTCTCTCACTCTCTCTCTCTCTCTCTCTCTCTTTCTCTCTCTCGCCGCACGTCCTCTATCCGCGAATGATGGTGCGTGTAATCTGGAAGGAGCCGTGCTCCTTCCCGCGCCGCCAGGCCAATAAATCAAGAATGCGCCCCACGGATTGGGTGTCGTTCATTAGGACCCAACACGGCCCACAGGGCCAAGGAGGGCCCAGATATAGGGCCTAGGCAGTGCCGAATTATAAATAAGCTCGCCGGCTCCTTGACGGCACCGAGCTTTCACAATCGCCGACGAATCTGCGGAGCTTTGGTTTAGGCTTGGCTTAGGCTACGCTTAGGCTTGGCTTAGGCTTCGATTAGGCTTCGATTAGGCTTCGATTAGGCTTCGATTAGGTTTCGATTAGGTTTCGATTAGGCTTCGCTTAGGCTTAAACTTGGGCTGAGGATTACGCTTAGACGCGGGTTTAGGCTTGGGTTTGCCTGAAGCTTAACTTACAAATGTTTTTTTAGGCTTAGGTTAGGCTTAGGCTTGGGAATGGCTTAGACTTAGGCTCAGGACTCGGTATAGCTTTGTTCTATCTCGATTTCTCCTCTCTGTCTCGCTCTCTCGATCTCGCTCTCTCCCTCTCTCCCGCCTGTCACCCTCCCTTTAAAGCCATGGCCTCGGCGATGAAATTCTCGTACTACACCCGCGCGGCCACCAAAGACGTCACCAACCTCGAGCACCCACCACTATCCGCCACCAAGTATGCAGTGTACTTTGTAGCCTACCGTAGCCTTCAGCTCGCTAAGCAACCTGGAGGACTTCAAACGACGCTTCCGACGAAGTGGCTCTCTCGGGATTCCGTTTGTCCCGGAACAGGATGCGAAGGCATTAAAGGTAGGCGGGGAAGCCGGATTTAAGGGGGCTGACAAGGCAAGGGCATCGCCCGCTTCCTAAGAAATTTCTGATCGCTTGCCCGAAATTCCATACTTTAAAGACACCGAGACAGATTTGATTTTAAGGGGCGCGGAAAGTCAAAACACAATTTTTTTAAGCGCGAGCTTTCGATCCGGGAGGTGGATGAGGGCCAACCTGTGCTTACTGTAATCGCGAAGACTCCAAAACGCCCTCGACAGATTGCCGAGATGCTAGCGGCGATGCCGGTGAGTGGTAGAGAGAGAGAGAGAGAGAGAGGGTTTGGGAGAGTGTGCGAGAGGGAGAGAGAGAAAGCTAGAGATGGAGAGAGATAGCCAGTGAGAGAGAGAGAGCAAGAGTCTTTAGAACCATCTGCTTCCAGGCCGACATCTCCGTGAAGCACATCGAGACGCGCGACTCCAAGGAGAATCAGGTAAACGTGCTCAAGCCACAAAATACACCCAAATTCCGCCAGAATACCTTGGACACCCTCCTCGAGCTCGAGCTGGAATACGGGATGGACAGCGAGCAGGCGATGGCCCACATGAGAGGGAATGGGCTGGATGTTGGTTGAATCGCGAAAATAATTCTGCTAGCCTGTCCCTTCCATTCCCAAATGATCTCTGCTAGCCTGCCCTTTTCCAGGTCCACGAGGTCTCCTTCTCCATCCAACCCCAGCAGACGGAGAGCGAAAAGCTGGTGGAGCCAGGATCGAATGGTTGGGGTTGAACCGCTTGATGGGCGATTTTAAAGGGACAATGACAGCAATTTGAACGTCTTCTTTTAGACGCGACAACCGGTTGTGAATGGTTTCCAAAGCATATCGCCGACCTGGACATCTGCGCCAAGCGCGTCATCATGTACGGCGCTGGGCTGGATGCAGATCATCCGGTGGGTCACTTTGAAGCCTAAAATTGGGCTAAAGCCCTAAACCAAGCCAAAGCCTAAGCCTAAGCCAAGCCAAGCCTAAACTTTGACCTGGTCATTCAGGGTTTCAAAGACCAGGACTACCGGAAGCGCCGCATGATGTTCGCCGAGGTGGCCATCAACCACAAGCAGTAAGGGCAGGCTAGCAGAGATCATTTAAAATTCTTTGCAGCGGGGAATCGATTCCCAGAATCGAATACTCGGAGGTGGAGCGCAAGACGTGGGGCATCATCTACCGCAGGCTGCGAGAGCTTCACAAAAAGTACGAAGTCGGATTATCTCTCTCTCTCTCTCTCTCTCTCCGTCTCTCTCTCGCTCTAAAAACGTAGTTTAGGTACGCTTGTCAAGAATTTCTCGACAACTTCGAGCTCCTCGAGCGTCATTGCGGATATTCTGAAAACAACATCCCCCAGCTGGAAGATATCAGCGTATTTTTAAGAGGTTGGATTCTCAAAATTTTCCTAAATGATCTCTGCTAGCTGGCGCAGGCCTAGGCAGGCTAGCAGAGATTCTTTAGGAAAATTGCTGTCTTTCAGCAAAAACCGGCTTTCGCGTCCGCCCAGTGGCGGGTTATCTGACGGCGCGCGACTTCCTGGCCGGGCTGGCGTACAGAGTATTCTTCTGTACACAGTACATTCGACACCATGCCGATCCGTTTTACACCCCGGAACCGTAAGAAGTTTTGATTTTAAAAGAGAGAGAGAGAGAGAGAGAGAGAGAGTGCGAGAGAGATAGCGAGAAAATTCCAGAGATACTGTACACGAGCTGATGGGCCATATGGCCCTTTTTGCGGATCCGGACTTTGCCCAGTTCAGCCACGAAATCGGGCTTGCCTCTCTCGGAGCCTCTGAGGACGACCTCAGCAAGCTGGCTACGGTAGGTGGAAGGTTCTTGCTAGCATGCCTGCTTGACGCGTTCCGAAAAATCTCTGCTGCTTCGTTTGCTTAAAAAATTCTAAAAAACGCTGCTAGCCTGCCCTCTAGCTCCAATTTCAGCTCTACTTCTTCTCGATCGAGTTCGGGCTCTCCTGCGACTCGCACCTCGACTCCATCGATACGTCTGGAGGGAAAGAAAATCGAAACAATCCGCCTTACAAGATCTACGGCGCAGGGTTGTTGAGCAGCGCCGGGGAGCTGCAGGTGAGAGAAACAAAGAGAGAGAGAGAGAGCGACACTTTCAGCACGCGATCGAGGGCAAGCCAAAAGTGCTCCGCTTCGATCCGGAGCGCGTCGTCGAGCAGGAATGTCTGATCACCACCTTCCAAGACGCCTATTTCTACACTCGGAATTTTGAGGAGGCCCAGCAAAAGTTAAGGTAAGCCTTCAGCAAAGCCTAAGCTAAGCCTAAGCTAAGTCTAAGCTAAGCCTAAGCCTAAGCCTAAACCTAAACCTAAGCCTAAGCTTACGCACTACTTTAGAATGTTCACCAACAACATGAAGCGCCCGTTCGTCGTCCGGTACAACGCGTACACCGAGAGCGTCGAGGTAGGAGTTTGGAGTCTGTAGAGGGGCAGGCTAGAAGAGATCATTTAGGAAATTCGAGCCATTCTTCATTTCAGGTGCTGAACAACCAGCGCTCGCTGATGCTGGCCGTCAACTCGTTGCGCAGCGACATCAATTTGTTGGCCAGCGCCCTCCATTTGACGCTTTAAAGGGGCCAGGAAGTCGGGAAACGACCCCTTCCATTGGCTAGGTCTAGACAGCTACAGGATACACCAAATGACGAGCGGAATCCGGTTAGAAACGTGAATAGAGAGAAATATTGCACTTACTTTGGAGTGTTGCGTAGCTGTCGAGACCTAGTCGGGGGAAGGGGTCGATTTTCGCGGGGGCCGATCTCTTTAAAAGGACTGGGAAGGCAAAACCTGCACCTAATCCATAGCCTACAAATCCATATCCTTGCCTTGCCCGTCGTTTTAAAAGCTACCGTACCCGACCATTTATTTACAGTATCCCTAGTTATTTTTCCGCTTAATTGAAATACCATAAGAAGCCCAGAATTCTGCAGTTTATACGCCGTAATCCCGTTTAAACAACCGCAAAAAGTGCTAAAATTTATTAAAATAAATACATTTAAAAATATCACACAAAAGTACCGGTTCTTCGAGTGGGGCAAAAATGGCTGGTTGAGGTTTAAATTGAGAGACTATTACGACAAAAATCGGCAAAAATCGCAAGTTTTTAATTTTTCTATAACTCGGGGTGATAATCATGGCGTAATCGATTAAAAATTAAATAATTAAAAAGAAAATTGAAAATTAAAGATTAAAAATTGGAACGGCAAAGGAAAAATTATGTAAAAAATTAATCAGAGATTGTCTACAGTAATCCGCCGGAGATTTTCTCGACCTTTTTGTACTTTTTGAGTCGGAACTCGCGGGCGGCGTTGATTTGGCACTGGGCGGCCTCGTCGAAAAGCCGCGATTTTTCGTCTTTGTAGGCGGCTGCTTCGAGGGAGTCGTCAGCTTTGGCGCGGCAACTGAACGACAATTTTCATGCTCCTTTTTATCCTAATTTCCGAATTTTTTTGGCGAATTCAGATTCTCTTTCTCACTCGCTCTCACTCGCTCTGTCTCTCTCGCTTCTCGCTGCCTCCCGCTCTCCCGGCCTCTCTCGCCCTCTCGATCCTTTTTCCCGCTATATCTCTCCCTCTCTCGCCCTCTCTCGCCCCCCTCTCTCTCTCTCTCTCTCTCTCTCTCTCTCTCTTTTTTTCTCTCTCTCTCACACACACACACACACACACAAACACACTCTCTACCTCTATCTCTCTCATTGTCTGTCTTATTGTGTTTTTAGCACTTTAGTTTTATATATCTTCCTAACCCTTCTTTTCTCTCTCTCTCTCTCTCTCTCTCTCTCTCTCTCTCCTCTTTCTCTCGCTCTATATCGCTCTCTCAGGCCTGGCAAGCTAGCAAACGTCTTTGAGGAAATTCTTGAAACAGAGCCCCAGCACTACAAGCTATAGCCTACGCTACGCTACTTACCTATGCACCGATGGGCAGCACTCCGCGTATTTGTCGCATATTCGCTTCGCGGTGGCCACATTTTTCTGGCAGTTCTTGGCCAGTGGTGGCAGCGAGGGCGGGAAGGCACAGGTGGCGGAGGGTAGCGGCTGAAATTAGGGGATTACGGTATTCATTAGGAATTCATGAGAATACTTGCGTTTCGCCATGAAATTCTACCGGTCTTCCCAGCTGGCTTTGGAGGGCAATTTCGCCCATCAGGCACTCGATGAAGACGCCTTCGAGTTGACGGCCCATCGCGTCGAGTTTCTGAAGGAAAAATGAGAGTGAGAGAGGGAGAGAACGAGCGATAGAGAGAGAGCGAGAGAGAGAGCGCGAGAGAGAGAGAGAGACAGTGAGCCAAAGAAAGAGTGCGCGACGGAGAAAGAAAGATAGAGATGGACAGAGAACGAGAGAGAGACACAGAGAGAGAGAGAGTGTGTGGGCTAGTGAAAATACCTGATATTTCGGGATTATCTCCTTGTTACAATCTCCCAATCGTCTCCCCGGCAAACCAGGAAGCAGCCGCCCCACATCCGGCTGACATTTCTCTTCCTAAATGCAAAAACATGGATCCACTACCATACCCTGACCTGGGCATTCATCTCATCAACACACGCCGCGTACAGCTCGCAGGAGGAGATGGCGGGGTACTGTAATTCAGGGAATAGTCAGGGTCATCTGGCAGAGATTCTTGAGGAAAAGCTCCAAAAATTCAACACAAACCTTGGCCGGATCGCTCAAAATTTTGCGCCGTTGTTCGGTGTCGTCCGGAACATTGATCAACAGTGGAGTGAAATCACTGAAAATTGACTTAAGCCCTAGCTTAGCCTAAGCCAAGCCTAAACCTAGGCTGACTTACATTGCTGACTCGATTGACGGCTCGCCTTGAAGCTTCGGCTCCACAATTTCGGTTTTGGGCATGATTTTCGGCGTCACGGTTTCCGGGATCTAAAAACGGAGTTGAGAGAGAGTGAGAGGGAGAGAGAGAAAGAGAGAGAGGGAGAGAGCGAAAGCGAGAGAGGGAGAGGGAGAGCGCGAGAGAGAGGTAAATATAGAGCGAGATGAAGAGAGAGAGAGTGAGAGGGAGAGAGAGAGAGAGAGCATCCCCAACCTCCATATCTTCTCCACTTTCACTCCCGATTGTCTGATTCTCGTCTTGATGATCAACTTCTTGTCATCGGCCTAAAATTCGGATTTTCTCGAGATTTTCAACGCGAATTTTTGTATTAAATTAAATAAACCAAAAGGCAAAAAATTAGCCGCCAGAAACTACCATAAAATATTTATTATTTACCACTATTTCCGGTCCGCCTACCTCTTCCGGTTTTTGCGTCGTGCGCTCCAAAAATTCTGAAAGTTTTACATGTTTTTAAGGGCCCAGCGAAGTTACGCGATTTCCGGTTGATGCGTTTCCTCCGTTTCCGGGCCTTCCGCCTTTCCTGCTTCGCTCCGGTCCGCCCGGAATGTTTTTGCGGGCCGATGGCGACCCGCTTGACCGACTTGATCTCCTCCTCGACCATGAAGGCCGGGTTTCGCCTAGAAAATCCAATTTTTGAGGATTTAAAGGAGCGTGGAAATCTTGTAAATCCAGAAAGTTTCGATGAAAATTTCGGTTCTGGACTGTTAGCGGGGGGAATTGATTTTTCTCAGTAATCCTGTACGGCCCGATAGCAAAAATTAAACCATTTTTATAGGATTTTACACAAATTTTTAGGTATATAAAAATACTTATAACATTTTCGACATTTTTGTCGAAAATGGCTGAAAAAATGACGAAAAAAGACACAGTTTTTGAATTTTCCAAAGTATTTAACGTATTTTTTGTAACTGCGATCTAAAACCATTAAAAACCGTATAAAATGCACTATCTTATTCTTCAAACAAAAACAAAAGGCGAAACAAAGATTAGCTCCCCCCGGATAACAGACCAGTACCTGAAGAATCTCTGCTGGTTTGACAAGTCTTGAAAACACTCACCCCTCGCTTTTCGGCGTCTTCCCGGCCGAGAATTGTCTAGAAAACCTTTTACATCTGATTTAAAAACCAGCGCCCAAAACCCGCTTCGCGGGCCTTGGGCGCTGGAATGCGGCCTTTGCATGAAAAATTTGACTACTGATAGCTCGGGTCCTGCGGACCCCTCCACCCCCCCGCCCCGACCACACGCGCGAGTGCAACTGGCCAGAATGAGGAAGTTTCTATTTTTTCGCATTATGCAAATTAGCCTTCAGGTACCCCCAAAAATCAATAAAACCGCCTTTAACTTTGTAAACTTGTATTTTTGCGAAATTCTGAAAACGCCATCGGAAACAGAAGGGTCGATTCCTCCGGGTGACAGAGAATTAGGGCATTTTATGCACGGGAAGGCCCTCAAATCGGGCCTCGAAAGTGACATCCACACACACACACACACACATACACTCCAAAATTATATAAGGTAGGATCAAAAATTCTACCGTCTTCGCCCCGTCGAGTCGACCACTTCGAAGAAGCCATTTCTGCAGGTTTTTTCGTTTTTTAAAAGTTGCTTTACCTACCGTATATCAGGTTCAACAACCGCCAATTGCTGGCGGTTACGATAGGAGATTTTGGAGGGGTACGGACTGAAAAACGATTTTTAAAGTGGGTGGGAGAAACAAAAACTACAGACTTCTAAAGAATCTCTGCTAGCCTGCCCTTTCCTAAGGAATTTCTCCTAGCCTGCCCTCTGCCTACCCATTTATCCTTGGCAAAACGCGCAGCGGACTGGCGCTTCTGGCCACTTGAGCTGTTGATCCGAATCGAGGCAGCGGCACCGCTTCCGGAACCGAAATTTCACTCAAAATTAAGGATTCCAGGATTCCAGGAGTTTCACTAACCGCTCGTCCGATCCATCGGAGCTTTGAATAGTGGGCATGCTTCTGGTAGGGGAGGGTCTGAAAAAAGCATCAGATGAAACCTCAGCATCTGCCTAAGCCTAAGCCTAAGCCTTAGCCTAAGCCTAAGCCTAAGCCTAAGCCTAAGCCTAAACCTAAGCCTAAGCCTAAGCCTTAGCCTAAGCCTAAGCCTAAGCCTAAGCCTTAGCCTAAGCCTAAGCCTAAGCCAAGCCTAGGGCTAACAAGGGAAGTGCACGATCGGCCCACGAGAAATCGACACGAGACATAATGGATCTGATAGAATCGGACACGGGGATTCCGAATCTGTAATCAGAATTTGCTAAATAAAACGGAGAAAAAAGTTATGAAGCTTCAAAGTTGGAAAAATCGCCCAAAATCGGACTTTTATGGGCCTGTAAAGGCCCAGGGATTGGAAATTTGCCACAACCCATTAGTGTATCTTGTTCAGCAAAAAAAAGCTCTTTCGAATGAGCTATCTTAATTCAAGTTTACGATGATTTCGCGAAAATCTCTTCTATGAACTTGACAGGCCATACCCTTGCCCGTGAATCCGAAAAAACTTTTTTCAGTGAATTGTTTGCAAATGCTACGTATTACAGTTCATTTGAAAGCGCTTTTTCTGCTGAACAAGCTGCACTAATTCTTTTCTCCTCAATTCCGTTCCACCGGTTTTTACGGGCCCTTAAAGGTACCGTTTTTGGCGATTTGGCCAACTTTGAAGCTTCATAACTTTTTTCTCCGTTTTATTTAGCAAATTCTGATTACAGATTCGGAATCCCCGTATCTGATTCTATCAGATCGACTATGTCTCGTGTCGATTTCTCGTGGGCCGGTCGTGCACTTCCCTTGTAAGCCTAATCTAAGCCTAAGCCTAAGCCTAAGCCTAAGCCTAGCCTGAGCCTACGACTAAGCCCAAGCCTGAACCACCCACCTGCTATCAAAATCCGGAATCGGCAGCGCCTGATTGCCGAAGCTGAACGGCTCCAAGCTTTCCCGGGTCACCTCCATTTCGATCAGCTCTGAGCCCGGGGCCTTGGGCTCGATTTTCTAAAGAAAGAGCTTTTTAAAGGGACTCGGAAACGCGATCATCGACCCGTTCCTGCGACTAGGTCTGGACAGCTATGTATCACGCCAAAATAAGCTTGGTATGGCCTGTTGCGTAGTTGTCGATACCTAGTCGATCCAGGGATCGATTTTAGCACTTTTTGGTATCTTGAAGGCTACTTACCCGCTTTGGAAAGCTGTTGAATCGAGCGGGGCCGAGCTGGCCCTTCTTCAGCGCCTTCAGCTTCTCGAAGTAGGGCTAAAGTTGAGGTGGGGTTCTTTCGCGTTATCGCGGGGGGGGTTCCATAGGTCTAAACCTTTAAAAAATATAACTTTTTAACTAGAAAAACTTTCTAAAGTTCAAAAAATTTAAACGCGAGATTTGTGTACAAAAATCGGCCATTCTTGGTCGAAAAACGATATTTTGGAATGTTGTTAATCCAATTTCCTAGGATTTGGCTTCGGCTCCGGCTTAGACTTCGGCTTACTTAGACTTAGGCTTCGGTTTCGGCTTAGGCTTTGGTTTGGACTAGGTTCACTTAGATGCGGCTTAGGCTTAGGATTTTAGGTTGGGTTTTGGTTCGAGCTTATGCTTCGTTAAGCCAAGCCTGAAAGCGCCCGTTTTCAACAAAGACAGCAAATTTCCGGAAGGCTACTTACCTGAAAATAGGTGCCGACTGTCCGGCTGACATTCTGGCGATGCATGGCCAGCCTTGGCACCGTGCCAGCCGTCTCCTCCTCAATCATTCGCCACCTGGCACTACGCCAAGGGGCGAAATTCTCGAATCTGCTGTCCTTCCGAACCCCCTCAAACACCAGCGGCGCGAATCTGAACGCGGGCAGGCTGGCAGGGGTTCTTGAGGAACCTACGTCTTCTGCGTGGTCGGTGGGGTCGTGGTGGGGGCGATTGTGGTGGTCGGCGTCTTGGTTGTGTAGATTTTCACAAAGAGCGGAATCTGAAGGCCGAAATCTCTCTCTATTTCTCTCTCTCTCGCTCTCTCTCTTCCTCTCTCGCTCTCTCGCTTTCCCCCTGACTTACAGTTTCCTTTAAAGCCGCTTCACTTTCCCTCTTTTCCTCCATTAATAACGCCGATAAGTCGTCGGGGGCGATTTCTTTTTTCGGGCCCTAAAATGTGAATTTTTAGGTAGTTCCAAAATCGTCTCTGCCCTTCTCTCTAACTCTCGCTCTCTCTCTCTCTCTCTCTCTTACTATCGATCTCTCTAACTCTCTATCTCCTTCTCTCTCTCTCTCTCTCGCTCTCTCTCTCTCTTCCCTCTCCCTCACCTCAAACATTTCCAAGATCTTCTCGGCCGTCTTCAAGTCGGTGTGGTCGCTGCGCGCCTTCGCTTTTCGGTGGAGTTTGTGGGCTCGTGGGATTACTGTAACGACAACTTTACAGACGGCTAGCATAGATTTTTAGGAAAGGGCAAGCTAGCAGAAGTCCTTCAGGAAATCCACCTCTTTCCGGCTCCTGTCCGATGGTTCCAACCGACAAAATCCTCCTCGGCGCCGTCACTGTCCTAAAGCTCCAAGTGTAAAACGTTGGCAAGCTAGCAAAGATTTTTGGGGGTTATTTTGGGCCTACCTTTGTTCAAAATCCGCGGGTTGCAGCTCGGAAATGGGCTTGGCAGTGGGCGGAGGAGGCGGTGGGAGCGGGCGAGGTCGAGATGGCGGATTATGGCTTAAAAATAGCATACATTTTGTTAAGGAACCTCCGCTAGCCTGCCCTGGATTCTCGGATCCACAAGAATCTCTGACTGACTGCCCACCTCGAAATCACGTTCGAAATGGCGTGCACCGGCGGGGACACGGTGGTGAACTGCGGGCGCGTCGATAGGAGCTGGAGTAGCCATGGAGGGGACGGAGGGATCGGGACCGGACTGTAAAGACGGAGTGTCGCGGAATCGTGGATAGGCAGGCTATCAGAGATCATTGAGGAAGGCTGCCTACCGTACCTGACTGGAATCTGTTGGCCCCAAGCGTGCCATCGGGGCAGGATGCTGTGAAAAGGCGCTCCTGTCTGGCCATAGAAGCGTTGTGGACTTCGGCGGACTTCTAAGAAGTAAAATTTCCCTTGCTACATCTCTCTAACTCTCTCTCTCGCTCTCGCTCTCTCTCTCGTTCTCTCTCGTTCGATCTATGTCTCTCTCTCATTCTCTCACCATTCTGCTGGTAAAAAAGGAGCCGAAGTTTTGCATCGGCTTTCACGATGTTTTCCGCAACGGAGACGTCTTCCCTGGAATTTGAGGTTATGGATTTTCGCTTCAATGGTCCGATAGGCGGAAAGAGATAGATAGAGAGAGAGAGAGAGAGAGAGCGAGAAAGAGAGAGTGAGAGCGAGAGCGGGCGAGAAACAGCCAGAGAGATCGAAAGATAGTGAGCGAGGGTGAGCGAGAGAATTAGGGAAAGAGCGGGAGAGCGAGAGAGCGAGAGAGGAGAGAGTGTCAGCGAGAGAGCGCAAGTTAGATAGCTCCGACTCACTTCCCAAAAACGGCTCCCTTGATCAACTTTCTCATATCATTTGAGCAGTCCTCCGTGTAGCGCAGCAAGTTTCCGCTGGTTTTCCGGACCTCTCGCGTCAGCCAGGAAGCCGCCGATTCTCGGGAGCAGCTGAAAAGAAGTTCGCATAGTCTTCTGGTCCCTTTAAGACACAAAAATCGATAATTTCGGTGTTTCTATCGGCCTTTGATTGCCACAATCCTTAAAAACAGGGAAAACTGACACTTCCGCTTGGGGACAGCACGCACGGAGTGTGTCACACGCGCCCAGGCTTTCTGCGAGTGCCACCTCGCAGCCCCACTGGGTGTCATTAGGGAAACGACGTAGGCTAGGGCAGCCGGCAGCATTGGTGGGGACGGACTTTTTCCTAAAATGAATTAAGATTTAGGGGTAGGGGAGCGAGAGACGACGTGAGAGAAAGGGAGAGAGAGAGCGAGAGAGTGTGAAAGAGAGAGCGAGAGATAGAGATAAAGATAGAAAGAGAGGGCGATAGATAGAGGGAGAGAGAGAGAACAAGCAGTAGAGAGAGAGTGAGAGAGAGATAGTGAGCGAGCGAGAGTGCGAAACGGCGAGAGAGATAGAGACAAAAAGAGAGATATTGCGATAGAGAGAGAGAGAGAGAGTGAGAGAGAGTGACAATGAGAGTAGGAAAGTTCGACTCCAAACTCACTTCAGCACGTTCTCCCTGGCCACGCAAATCGAGAATTGGGCCTCGTGGCGCATCGAGAGCACTTGGTACTGCCTGAAAATGCAGATTTTTAAGAGCGAGAGAGAACGAGGGAAAGAGAGAGAGAGAGAGAGAGAGTGAGAACCACCTAAACTCGTGCTCATCCTTGCAAACGGCCGCCGATAGCCGCCGAACCCGCTCCACGCAGTACAAATGACGGCGCAGCACAGCCGAGCGGCAGGATAGGTACTCCTCACATTCCGGGACTGCCTGGAATCATAAAATCGGGTCGCGTTCCGGAAGGGTCTCTGCTAGCATGCCTTGGGCAACCTAACAGAGAATCCGAAACGGTTGTAAGATACCTGCGAAATTTCGGGCTGAAAAAGTAAAAAACCGAGCAGGATCATGGCATTTTTGGAGATCATCGCTTACATCTGGTCGGGGGCTGAAAGTTGGGACTTAGAGAGAGAGAGAGAGAGAGAGAGAGAGAGAGAGCCAGACAGAGACAGAGAGAGACAGAGAGCGAGAGAACGGGAGATAATAGTTAGTGAGAGAGAAAGCGAGAGAAAGAGAGCGAGAGAGCGCGAGAGAGAGAGGCAGAAGCTAAATTTGGAGGCTGGCAGAAATCCTTTAGAAATTTATACCCCCTCTTTAAACGGCCGTTCGAGAGAAATTTCTCTAGAATTGCGCTAAAAATTTTTTTTTTAAGGGAGCAGGCTAGCAGAGATCCTTGACCTCCCACGGCCCTTACGCAAAGCGTTGGCCAGTTTGCGTGTGGCTTGGTGGGGGACAAAGCAGTCAAGGCAGGGTAGGGGGGGGGGGAACTGGTTGCAATTTCAATCTACGTTCAGAGGAGCCGAACGGAACGAACCGCGCCGCAGAGGTGGTGGAGTCGAACCAGTATATTGGATTGGAGAGGAGGAATCCGGGGGGAATTGTTTTATGCCCAGAAAACGGCCAATAATTATCTGCGGAGATCCTGTGTGTGTGGCCTCGACACGATGAATCCCCCGGGGGTTAATACGGTGAGGGGAAAGGGTTTTTGTAAGGATTTGTCGGTATCTCTGACTCTCTCTCTCTCTCTCTCTCTCTCTCGTGTTCTCGTTCTCACTGTCTCTCGCTCCTTCTTGCCCTCTCGCTCTCCCGCTAGAGCTCTCTCTCTCTCTCTCTCTTTGCTTTCCCTCGCTTCTGAAAGTTCATGGCAAGCTAGCAGAGATTGTTGAGGATAAAATGCTCCAAAAAACACTCCCAAAATGCGCAGAAAACGACAGAAAATAAGCACAACTTCTGGGCAGACTGACCACCCCCGGAATTGCCCTTTCGCCGGTATGCAAATTGGGCTGCACGCCCCGAAGGCATAAAGAAGAGTTTTCGCCTCTCTCTCCCTTTCTCTCACTCTCTTTCTCTCTCTCACGCCTCTTCTAGTAAAGGCTGACCGGAATTATGTATTCCCCCGTAGTGGCATACGGCGAAAAGCTCCTCGAATTTCTCAAGGGCACCAATTTGCGGAAGAGCCTTTTTCTGACTGGGGTGGATTGGGGGATCTTGTTTTTCTGTGGATTCGGAGGGCAGGCTAGCAGAGAAACTTTGAGGGAAATGGGATTCAACGGAGGAGGAAACGGTGCCAGAATAGCCAGGATAATTGTGCAAAATGAGGAAAGAAAGCTAGCAAAGATCTCTGGGGGAAACACTTGGGAGAGCGGCCAGAGGGCTTTGAGGGAAGATGAGGGCGGTCTAGCAGGGGTCATTGTGGAAAACTGGTCGCCAACTAGCAGAAATTCTTGGGAGGATTTGGCGCCAAGCTAGAAGAGGCAGGCAGAAGAAGAAGAAGAAGGTGAAGGCAGGCTAGCAGAGATCCTTGAGGAACGAGGAACAGCTAGCAGAGACTTTCTAGGAAATCTGAAAGGCAGGATGACAGCAGCGTTAGGGTCAACGATCTCCGGTTGAGAAGATAACGCGTGAGATTGTGTCTAGGCCCAAGCCTAAGCCTAAGCCTAAGCCTAAGGCAAAGCCTAAGCCTAACCTAAGCCTAAGTTGAAGCCAAACAGCCGGACCTAAGCATAAGCCTAAGCCAAGCCTAAGCCAAGCCTAAGCCAAGCCTAGCCAATCCAGCCCAAGCCTAAGCCCAAAACTAAGGAACGAGAAAGTGGAAAAGCATGGAAAACATGGGAGAAAGTCCTGGTGGAGGGCTACTTGGGCACTGCTTAGCATCTAGTCAAGGAGGGGCTGTGGGGGGCGGCAACCGGAATCCGTATATTAGATCCAATCTCAATCCACGCCCCTCGACACGACCAGAATTTTGCATAGCCCAAAAGCCCCCCGGAAAATCCTCGGGGCCCCGGCGCGGCAAAAGAAACATTCCGCTCGGAATCTCGACCCGAGCGGCGCGTATCGGAATCTTGGATCTCGTCCGGATTCTCGGCGACATCGCGCTCATAATTTGCATAAGCTTTGGGTGAAAAATGGGGGAAAGAAGCTGCGTGAGAATTGACGAAGCCTAAGCCTGAGCCCAAGCCTAACCGAAGCTTAAGCCTAAGCCTATGCTTAAGTCTAAGCCTAAGCCTAAGTCGAAGCCGAAACCCAAGCCCTAGGCTTTACCTAAGCCTGAGCCTGAGTCTAAGCCCGAGACTAAGCCTAAGCCTAGGCTTATGCGAAGTCTGATCCTGAGCTCCGATCCCTTTCCCAAAAGGTCTCTGCCAGCAACACTAGCTCCTCCAACTCGATTCCCCAAGAATCTATGCTAGCCGTAAAGCTGAGAATATTCAGAGCCAATGCAGACTAGCAGAGATTCTTCAGGAAAACATCGTCCCAATCCGCAGCGTCAGTTGGTCAGCGTTTTGTCTCGAAATTTGCCCCGATTTTGCCGGCTTTTAACGAGCTGTTTTGTGCGCTTTGAGGGTCGTCTGAGTTCTGTCTGTAGTGCGCTTTGATGGTTCTCTCTCGCTCTCTCTTTCGCTCTCTCTCGCTCTCGTGCTCAAAGCTCCCCTTGCCCCGCAGACCTACCGAATAGCCCATAAAGGCGGTCATTTACGGCTTTTTTCGCGGGGTGCGGCTCGTTTTCGGCCCTGCGGTTGTTTGAGATTTGCATAACGGGGAGGATGGGATAATTGGATTACATGGATTGGCAATGCGAGAGAGAGAGGGATGGAGAAATGGAAGAGAGACAGAGAGAGAGAGAGAGAGAGAGAGTGAGAGATTGAGAGAGAATGAGAGAGACAGCGAGATCGAGGTCGAGAGATACAGGAAGCAAGAGAGAGAGGGAGAGAGAGAGCGAGAGAGAGAGAGAGCGCGCGAGAACGAATATAGAGCAAAAAATAAGTCTAGCCGAGTTTATTGCGGATTCCAGGGAAATGCTCTGGAAAATGACCGCATATCTAACAGAACATCTCTGCTTCGCCCCCCTTTCACTGGCAATTAGCCCTACTTTTTTGCGCAGGAGATTTGCATCGCCGGGGACGGCGGTTTCCTAAATGATCTCTGCTAGCTTTCCGATTATTGAAAATGGCATAATACGGAATACTCCGAAGCCTTAAATTTGAGTTTTGGACTTTTACATACGACATTTGCATCCTAGGCTACGGTAGTTGCAGACGCACAAAAATCGTCATTTTCTACTTACTGCCTTTTTGATAAAGTAGGTTCAGATCTAATTCGGTGGATGTTGTTCTTTTCAGGAAACCCGCGGCGCGGCTAGTCGTCCAAAAATTAATCTGTGGGTTTTTTAAAGAAAACGGAAGGTGAAGTAGGCGGGGCTTGAGCTTGATGAGGCTTAGGCTTTGGGTTAGGCTTAGGCTTGGGCTTGGGCTTAGGCTTAGGCTTGGGCTTGGGCTTGGGCATAGGCTTAGGCTTCGGGTTAGGCTTAGGCTTAGGCTTGGGCTTGGGCTTAGGCTTAGGCTTGGGCTTGGGCTTGGGCATAGGCTTAGGCTTCGGGTTAGGCTTATGCTTAGGCTTGGCCTTGGGCTTAGGCTTAGGCTTCGTCTTCAGGCTTCAGTCTACTCCATTTTTCAGAATCGTTCTGCAAAAAGTAGTCAATGATATTACCAGAGGCACTCGGATTCACCCTCGTCGAAGAACTCATCATCCTCGTGCTATGGTCGGTGCTATGGTTGGTGCTGTGAATTTAGCACCCGAAATTCCACGAAGGTCGCTGCTAGCCTGCCCGTTTCCTAAAAAATCTTTGCTAGCTAGCCCGTTTCCTAAAGAAACTCTGCTAGCCTGCCCTATCCTGAAGAATCTCTGCTAGCCTGCCCCAAGCCCTCACCTTTGTAGTGTGACCCTGCTGTTCATCTGCACCTACCTGGTCGTCTACACCATCCTCATCATGCTCAAAAACCGACGGCGCAAGAAGGACAAAAAGAAGCACGAGCCCCTCACCTCGCTGAAGGCAGGCTAGCAGCGATGCTTTGGGAATTTTCCCAGACAAAAACTAGGGTTACTACAAAAACTTTTGAAGGTTAACAAGTACACGAGTCTCGCCACGCAGCCCACCGTCGTCGAGGTGCCCAAGCCCGAGCCGGCCAAGCCCGCGTCCGCGTCCGCCCCCGCATCCGAGCCCGAGAAACCGAAAGCCGAGGAGCCCGTGGTGAAGAAGGAGTCCGAAACGTCGCCAGCCCCCAACGAGCCCGGTCGGCGCTCCGTCAAGAAGGCCAAGAGCAAGCCGGCGGCCAAGCCTGGCGACCCGGCGGCTGTTGTGAGTTTTGGGTCACAGCCTAAGCCGAAGCATTAGCCTAAGCTTAAGTCAATTAAGCCTAAATTTGAGCCTAAGCCTAAGCCCAAGCCTAAGCCTAAGTCTAATCCAAGCCTAAGCCTAAGCCTAAGTCTAATCCAAGCCTAAGCCTAAGCCTAATCTAATCCAAGCCTAAGCCTAAGCCTAAGTCTGATCCAAAGCTGAGCGTAAGCCTAAGCCTAAGCCTAAGCCTAACCGAAGCCTGAGCCAAGTTTAAGCTCCTAAGTCAAAGCCTTTTTACCAACAAATGAACCCTTTCCAGGAATTACTACAGGACGCCAAGACGCAACGCTCGCTGACGATCAAAGAGGTCGAAAGATCGGAAATTTTGGCAAAATAACCCGTACACTTTTAGCGGCGCACCAAGCCGTCAAAGCAAAGCCACGGCAAGCACAAGAAGGGGCCCAAGGACGGCACGCAGCACAAGACTGAGGAATCGGTAGGTAGTATCGGTACGACCAACGAGGAAAGATCCCATTTTGGCTGTCCGGATATTGGCTGGAATTCCAAAATTAACCACCACCCCACCCCTCGCTAACAGTTCAGTACCAATCCTAGGTCGACGACGACACATTGCGCCTCATCCCGTCGCTGCCGCAGGACCTGCGCGCGCCCGAGACGCAGGAGGCCGACGAGGGCGAGGAGGAGCCAAAGACCGACCTCGACGCCACCGCCAACTTCCCGGCCGTCGGCGCGCTGCTGTCCAAGTTTCGCAGTGGACGTCTGCTGAAGCCGTCGAAGGAGCCGGACAACAAGGAGCAGAAGACCGGCACCAAGAAGCGCGCCCTGGGCTCGCGCGAATCCGTGCGCACGGGTCGCCAGATGTCGCGGGATAGTCAGCGGACGGGCAGGTGCGTAGCGTTTTAGCAAAACGGCAAAAAACTAGGTAAGACTCTAGATACCCCCCCCCCCCAGCCGACCCCCACCTACCGTATCTCGGCTCCCTGTTCATCTCCAGGTGTGTAAAAGATACCAAAATGTTCGTCTGGCTCTGGCGAATATTTTGATATACTTTACACACCTGTAGATGAACAGGGAGCCGAGATACGGTACTTGGGGTCGGCTTGGGGGTTATCTGGAGTTTAGCCAAAAACTAATTTTTCCCAATAATCTTGTAAGGCCCTATAACAACCCCCCCCCCCCGCTAACAGCCCAGAACTAAAATTTATTGATCTTGAATTGGGTTGATCATTTCATGCTACTGGACTGTTAGCGGGGGGAACTAATTTTAGGGTCCTGCCGCATTAACTGGGGGAGAAACCAACTTTTTTCTGAGCATCTAATTTTTCAAATATTCGGAAGTGTTTCTAAATAGTTTTTACTATTCCTAAACGTAAAAACCATGCAAATGTTGGTAAAAAATTTCAAAAATATCGGTTTTACAACGAAAAATGGCCGATGTTTGACCAAAGGTCGACTTTTTCTGGTTTAAATATAGTTATTTTCTACCGAAAACACTATTAAAAGAATTGCTATGAGTTACTAAGCATTTCTAGACGTATAAAAAAAATTTGGTCCCCCCCCCCGATAATGCCAAAGAACCAGTTCTTGTTTTCCATCGATCTGTTGATAATCGGTTGATATTTTGTATTTCAATAATACACTTTTAGTGGTTTTTGCTTGCTAGAAAGTTACGAAAACATTTTATTCATTTTTGTAAATTCGAAAATTCGTATTTTGAACCAAAAATAATAATAGTATTTCCAACCTTTTTACGAGTTTTGTTCAGCGATTTTTATACCTAAACACTGTTAAATGCGCTAAAAACGGCTTTTGTATTTCATTTAGGACCGTACAGGATCAATGGGAAAAATTCGCTTCCCCCCCCCCCCGCTAACAGTCCAGTACCCACTTTCACTTACAGGCAAAAGCCCCGCGCCGGTGGTTCGCGCGAGCGGGAGGGCGCCGAAAAGTCGGGCAAGAAACCGCCGCCGCCGTCGCAGATTCAGCAGCAGCGACAACCCACGCCACCACCACCCCAAACGGCTCCCGTCGAAGATCCACAACCAATCACCGCCGCCCATCAGCCGCCAAAACCGGAAGGGCACCCCGGCGACGACATGAAAACCGGGCACCAGGGGGCGACGGCCCGGTCCGGGAAAGTTGTGAAAGAATAAAGGCTTTGGCCCCGACACGGTCGTTGCACCCAAATTACGTTTAGCGCAAAGTGGCTAACTGTAAAGTGGGTAAGAGTTTACTTTACCCCCCCCCCCACAGCCGAAGGGTCTGAAAGTTTTCGGTATTTTCGCTTATTTTGTCGGGATTTTTGCAACGCCATTCGATAGAGCGCCGAAAAATATACTAAGAGTTTTAATTTGAGCCTAAAATAATGTAAAATAAAAAAGTTATAGCCAAAAACTTCCGGCTGGGGGGGGGTAAAGTAAACCGTAGCCGTAAAGTGTTTTTAGACAGGCTGGCGTTTTGGAATGAGAGTCTCATGATGAGACCAAATCTATCCTGTGCAGAATTTATTTTTTTTTGCTGATTGGATTGGAGTTCGGGAATTTTTTTCGTTGGTTTCTCGCTAACTCAGCCTAGGAAGGCCCGGCCGATCGGGAGGCTTGCCGGGTGTCTAGGGGAAACTTCAAAAAAATCGTAAAAACCACAACGGCGATTTTGCAGCTATGCCAGGTAGCACATCGGAATCAGCGTTTCAAGCTGGTTCGAATGAGCCCGGGGCGGAATTCTGACGGGCTCGACTGGCTGACGCGAATTTTCGAAAAAGTCGACGTGGTCCCCCCTTTGCTCCAAAACGGCAAAAAGTGATCACTACGAAAAATCGTAGCAATTAAACGAGGGCCGCCCAAGGTATGTAGCAAAATTTTTTTAGCATCATTTTTCATGCTCTTTCAGAGGCGGCATTCAGAACAATTTCGCACGGTTGATTTCTCGCTAAATCAGCCTAGGAAGGCATGGACGATCGGGAGGCTTGCCGGGTGTCTGGATGAAACTTCAAAATATCGTAAAAACCACAACGGCGATTTTTTTAGCTATGCCATGTAGCACTCGGAATCAGCGTTTCAAGCCGGTTCGAATGGGTCCAGGGCGAAATTCTGACGAACCTGGCTGACGCGAATTTTCGAAACACGACGTGGTCCGCCTTTGCTTGAAAACGACAAAAAGTGATCACTTGGAAAAATTCTAGCAATTAAACCAGGGCCTCACAAGTTGCGTAAAACAATTTTTACGGCACTATTTTTGATGCTCTTTCAAATGGCACCATTCGCTACGGACGCAGTTATCCAAACTTTTTGGCAAATTCCAAAAATCGACGTGGCCCCCCCCCCCTTTTCTCGTAAGCCATAAAACATAAGTTTCAAAAAATCGTAGCATATACACCAGGACCTCCCAGGTCGTGCACCAAACTTTTTTTTATTCATAAATTTTCAAAGAGATCAGCGTTTGTGATGTAAATCGATGGAAGACGAGGTGGAGGCATTAATATTTGTACGTTGCGGCGTGGTTACAGCTGGTCGCGTTGGGTGATTAGGTTGCGACAGCGTTCGATTTCCCGTTTCAGGTCGTCAATCTCCTTCTTCAGGTCATGGTTCTCGCCCTCGAGTACCTGGAAAATCGGACTTTGAGAGTTTTCGGAAGTGTTATTACAATGCCCAAACTCGTAACGTGGAAATTTGGTGATATCGAAACTAAAGTGAGTGCGGGATTTCGATATTGTGGGATGATTTCAGAATATCCAAATTGAGGTAACTCTAGTTTACCCCCCCCCCCCCCCAGCCCTAACTTTTCAGCCATACATCCTATTAATGCGTGGAGTATCTCAAAATGTTCGCCGTGGTCGAATTACTATAAAAAGTTGTTTTCTTGCGGCAAAAATTGCTAGAAATTTTTTTACAAGCTTTTGAAAGTTGAAAAGATTAAGCCGCTGTGCTTCGATGTACCAGGAGCCTAAAACTCAAATATTTTTATTTTCCGCTATTTTTTCGACTCAAACGTACTGTAGGCTTATTTTACAGAGCAAGAGCTACATTTTGGCACCATTGACAACTCTGTACGTAAAAATATAGCCGAGATACGAAAACTCACTTTGGAACAGCAAAAATTAACTAAAGAAAACCCAGACTTATAATTGTTATAAAAATTTTTCTAACAATTTTGGATGTAAGAAAACAACTTTTTTATCGTAATTCGACCACGAGGAACATTTTGAGATACTCGGCGCATTAATAGGACGTATGGCTGAAAAGTTAGGGCTGGGGGGGTAAACTAGAGTTTAGCCCAAATTGATAAAAACGAAATTTCGGAATGTCGTCGAAAATCGGTGATTTTTGGTGAAAAAAAAAATCGCTTTTTTTAGTCAAAAAATCTAGATTTTTCGTATTTTTTCAAGGCAAGTTGCAAGGTATGGTCAAAAACAGGCTAGAAAGATTTCCTTTTTAAATTAAAGAATTTGACTCGTGCGAGAAATTTGTTCCCCCCCCCCCCCCCCCGATAATGCCAAAGCACCGTAAATTCTGAAATTACAAAATTCCGCCATGATCATAGCGTCTCGACATTTCCGATAGTCTTGAGCCTTCGGCCGATTTTTCTAAATCCCAAGGCCCACCTCAACGCGATGGCTGCGATACTCGAAGACGGCGCGCCGGTTGGCGCGGCAGCGCTTGGCGGCCTCGTTATTTCGGCGGCGACGTTCCATGTATTGCTGCTGTAATTATTGGGATGAAAGACTTAGGCTTAGGCTTAGGTTTAGGCTTAGGCTTAGGTTTAGGTTTAGTCTTGGGCTTAGGCTTAGGATTATGCTTAAGTTTAGGCTTAGGCTTAGGATCAGGCTTACCTTTCTGCTACCCTCGGGTTGTTGGCCGCTCGATTCCATCGGGGACAGCGAGGCCGAGGAGTGACTTTCCGAGTCTGGAATTACGTGTTTTCTAGAATTCGGGTGAGAGAGACAGAGAGAGAGAGCGAGAGAGAGAGAGTAGGAGTGAGACGTTCGTAACTCCCACCAGATTTCGAACTACCAGAAATTGACAGCGACACTGACGACATTGACGACGAGCCGGCCGGGCAAGGAGATCGAGGATGAGGGGCAATCGGCGGGGGCTAAATACGGAAAAAATTCTATTTTTTGTCTTTTTAGCAGTTTTGTAAATAATTTTGTAGCGGCTCACCTGATTATTGTGGTTTTGCTCGCGGGGCGGGCTAGCTAGCCCGCTGCGGCTTTCCGTCGAGCTCTGGGGTACGGTGGGGGAGGGCCTGGAAAGCGGATGTTTTTGGTGATAGCGAAAAACCTAAGCCTAAGCCTAAGGCCTAAGCCTAAGCCTAAGCCTAAGCCTAAGCCTAAGCCTAAGCCTAAGCCTAAGCCTTAGCGACGGAATACACACCTCCGATTCGACAGCAATGCTCCGAGCAGCGAACTGCCACTGGTTGAAGGCGTGCTGGGAGCGGCGTTTTCTAAAGAGCACAGTTTGGTTCTTTAGGATTTCCGGGGGAAAGTATTTCCGGGGGGGAACCAAATTTTTTCGGCCCAAGCCTAAATTTTTTTCTAAATAGCGCATGCGTTTCTAAATGGTTTTTAACTATTCCTGAGCATAAAAACTACCCACATTTTAATTAAAAAATTTAATTTTAGGTCGAAATCCTATAGAACCTTTAGGATTACCGGGGGGGGGAAAGACCCAAAATGACCAATTTTCGACTTTTTCAAACATTTTTTAAACTTTTTTGAAAGGTTTTTCTACTTTAAATATAGTTAAAATTTACTAAATACGATGTCAAAACACTTTATATTTGATTACTAGGTCAACCGGGAAAACCAGGAAAAAATTTGGTTTCCCCCGGAAATACTTTCCCCCCCCGGAAATCCTAAAGAACCCACAGTTTAAAACAAAAATTAATTAAAAATTTACCTAAGCAGCTCAAGAATTAAAAAATGTAAAATTACCGGTCGTTTTCTGCTTCTTCTTCACGTCGCTCGTCGAATCGGGGCTGGCTGGCGGGCGAGTCGGCCGAATCACGGAAGCACTACTTTGTGGGGGTTGGAAAGCCGACGTCGATGACGAGGAGGGGCCTGGGGTGTTACGGTAACCTGTGCGGCGGTTTAGAATTTCATACCTGGTCGTCCAGGCAGAGCCTGCGGGTTGGGGAGCAGTACACCGCCGGCATTTTGGTAGGGGTTGATGATGGGATACTGTAAATATGGTAGTTTCAGCACCGAAGATCTCGTTATCTCCGTTCACTGCTCTTTCTCTCTTCCTCTATCATCCTCCCTCGCTTTTTGTCTCTCTCTCTCTCTCTCTCTCTCTCTCTCTCCAACGCTTACTCTCTCCCTCCAACGCTTACTCTCGCTCTCTCACTCTCTCACTTTATCTCGCTCTCTCCCTCTCATTCTATCTCTCTCTCTCTCTCTCTCTCTCTCTCTCCTCTCTCTCTCTCTCTCTCTCTCTCTCTCTCCCTCACCTGTTGTTGAAGTGCCGCCTGCAGCTGGCAGAGTTGCAGCATCGGCAGCTGAGCATTTTGCATGACGCCCGGGTAGAGCGCCTGAAATCCAAATTACGCCGAGTTTCCCAAGAATATCTGCTAGCCCCCCCCCCCAAAATCCCTTTTCGCGGTCCCTTTAACCGATGAATCCGGCCCACCTGCAGCTTCTGCAGCGCCGCCTGGTCGAACATTTGCGCGCAGCCGCCCGGGGCCATCGCGCCGGCGTGCGGCAGGTCGAAGATGGACAAGTTGGCGGCAGAGGCGCCCCTTTCGAGCTGTGCGCGAAGGCGCTCGTTCTCCTGGGCCAGCGCGAGGAGACGGGCCTCCATTTCGAGCTGAAAAGGCTATGGTATCGCTCAAGATGGAGCTCCCACTCAAATCCCAGCTCTCTCACTCATGCTCCCTCACTCCTCTCTCGATCTCACTCTCTTGTGCTCAATCGCGTTCTCTCGACCTATGCGGCCTCTATCTCTGTCTGGCGCGCTCTTGCTTTCTCTCTTTATCTCGTTCTCTCTCTCTCTCTCTCTCGCCCTCTCTCTCTCTCACCTGTTGTCCAATCGGCCGGTCATACCCCTTCACGCGTCGCCACGTCTCCTGCGCCTCCGAGATCGAATTTCTAAGGCTCCATGGGTTACTGTAGCTCCTGAATTGTCTCACCTCCTCGACAGGGGCGACGACGCGCCGCTACTAATGCCGGAACAGTGGTCGGACAGGGAGCAGACGACCGAGAGTCGCGAAGAGGCTGGGGATGGGGAGGAGCCGGGAGGGGGAGAATCCACCTCCATCCTCAGGGCGGAGGGCTGAAAAGATGGTAAGTCACACGCGGCCTTTGAGGGATAGCGAGCCAGAGAGAGAGAGAGAGAGCGAGAGAGAGAGAGAAAGCGCGCGATAAAGCGAGAAAGAGCGCGAGAAAAACGGAAGCGCGCCACATGAAGCCTAAGCCAAGCTACTTTAAAGAGGCAGTGGAGTCATCAAACCCTTGAAAATCACCCTTAAAACAAGGGCAGGCTAGCAGAGATTCTTTGGGACCCCAGCCTCCCCAGCCCCTTTGAGGGAATCGCCCATCGAAAGCGGCAACTCGACGGGGTTCAAGCCACCTCCGAAAAGGGGGGTGTCGGGACAGGGGATGGCGATTGACCTAGTCGGCGACTTGTTTCAACCGGCCGACCGGGTGGGGGAGCGAGACTCCGATTACGCCATCCCACCCACCTGCAGCCAGACGGACCGGTTTTTCGGGGGAGGCCTGGGGGGCAAAGTCGGCCATTTTCGAAATTTCAAGGGGCTGGGATGGCAGGAAAAGTGGTGATAGAGCGATAGAGAGCGAGGACGAGAGCGAGAACGAGAGAGAGAGAGAGATCTCTTCGCGGCTTCCTCCGAAAACTCGGCAAGACCAGCGCGACGATATTCGAGACGGCCTTTAGGCCTTTAGGCTTAGGCTTAGGCTTGGTCTTAGATCGGGCTTAGGCTTTGCGGGGGATTCAGCTTCGGCTTAGCCTTTGCGTGGGCTTAAGCTCAAGTTTAGGGTTAACCTAGGCTTAGGCTTAGGTTATGCTTAGGCTAAGGCTTAGGCTTTGGCTTAGACTTGGCTTGGCTTAGCAGCCAATAGGCAAAAAACCATCTAAATTAAAATTAAGCAAAAATTCGGGCAGAACCAAATTAGTGGAAATCCCTGGAATTCCTGAAAATCCTCCATTCCGGAGCTGTACTCATGACGAGGACAAGGGTCAGCCGTCTGCGGAATTCGGGGAACGACAAACCGAATAGCTTGCAGCAGGCGGAGGTCGGCAGGTGAACGATAGAAAAGCCGAGTGGCTGTGGCCCAGTTCGAAGGCTGGAACTGGTTCCGCCCGCCCAAGCCCGCCATCAATATGCCATAGGCAGGGCGGGGCAAACTGTTGGTAGTACTGTTATGGAAATGTGGAGGGAGAGAGATAGAGTGAGAGAGAAAGAGAGAGATCAGAACCCTCTAAAGCCCCAAAAGTCGAGTGCCGGTTCCGCTCAGCGCCGCCAAAAATAGGCCATGGTGCTTCGGGGGTTGGTGGGGCGTCCACCACCATCTGCCCGCCGGCGGCTCTCCCGAAAAACCGGATTCGATTTCTCTCTCTCTCTCTGTCTCTCTCTCTCCCTCTCTCTCTCGCTCCCTCAAAATGTCAGATGGATCCCATTTTAGCCCATGCGTAGGGGTGCTGTATTTGCATTCTAGGTGAAAATGGCTGCCACACAGCAAATAGTCGGGGGAAGTTTTGGCACGGAAATCGAGGCAGTTGAGTAGGCTTAGCTGGCTTGGCTTGAGTTTAACTTAGGCTAAGGTGCAGGCTTAGGTTGGCTTAGGCTCAGGCGCAGGCCTGGCTTTATGGGCTTAGGCTTCGGCTTGGGCCTGGTAAGTTACCTTCAAAATCACTCGAAACATCGCAAAGAGGCCCCCAAAAAATCCCCCAGGAGACCTAGCCCAACAAGGCCAGGTGTTTCCCGGGAGCAATTAACCTTTTTTCTGGCTGTCAACTGTCTCGGGGGGGGGTTGATGATTGCTAAAGGGCCGCCGCGCGGGCCATATAAAAACCAGCTGCCGCCCGGGGCCGCATATGATAGTTCAAGGGCAACAAGGTGATCGAGAACAAACGAGCATCAGGTAGCAAGTGAGCCTAAGCCAAGCCACGCCTAAGCCTAAGCCTAAATCGAAGCCCTAGCTAAGTCTCAGCTAAGCCCGACCCAGGGCCTAAGCCTAAGCCTAAGCCTAAGCCTAAGCCTAAGCCTAAGCCTAAGCCTAACCTAAGACTAAGACTAAGCCTAAGCCTAAGCCTAAGCCTAAGCCTAAGCCTAAGCCTAAGCCTAAGCCTAACCTAAGACTAAGACTAAGCCTAAGCCTAAGCCTAAGCCTAAGCCTAAGCCTAAGCCTAAGCCTAAGCCTAAGCCTAAGCCTAAACCCAAGCCTGAATTAAGGATCAGAGAATTGTTATCACTCGTAAAAGCTGGTGTTCGGATGAAGCTTCTGCCCGAGGCACAGGGAGGGTTGTTTACGGGGTGTGGCCACAGGGTGGGTGGTGTGTTGTACCCCGTTGCCCCCATCGGGGTGCCAGATGCCCTGAGGGGGGCCCGATCAGACAAACAACCGCCCCGGGGCCCGACCCTCGAATTGGTACACGCTGGCACCAACCGGTCCTGTCGCAAGCCACCATTCGAGAAAGGGAGTTTTTAAAGGGACGTGGAAGGCATTCAAAGTTAGGCTAAGGCTTAGGCTTGAGCGTAGGTTAGACTTAGGCTTCGGCCCGGATTTAGGTTTGGGCTTGGGTTCAGGCTTCAACTTTACCTGACCTAAGCTTAGGCTCAGGCTTGCCCTTAGAGTTCTGCTTAGGCTTAGGCTTAGGCTTAGATTTAGGCAAAGGTTATGCTTAGGCTTAGGGATAGACTTAGGTTACGGCTTAGCTTGTTCTTAAGCTTAGCTTGGTTTTGGGCTTAGACTTAGGCTTGAGCTTTGGGTTTGGGCTTAGGCTTAAGCCTAGGCTTCGGTTTAAGCTTTGCTTGGGCTAAGACTTGGACTTAGGGAGCGTTAAAGGAACCTAGAAGCATCCCTGATGAAACCATTGAAAGAGACGCGTAAAACAGGGCTATGGATTGTGATACGGGGGTCTCCTGGGTTTCCAACCCCTTTAAAACCGAGTGGTACTCCTAAAAACCGAAAAACAATGGCGTCAAATGGGAATAACGGAGTGGCCTAGGCTTAGGCTTAGAGTTAGGCTTAGTAGGACCGTGATTACGATAGACACCTCTACAGGGTGTCCCAAAAAAAAAGCACCCCCCTCTAGCGGCACGCAGTCGTGTCCGATTTTTACCGTTTAGGTATCAATCGAAAGATCTCGAAAAGGCGAGAAAACAAGGAGGGTTCATTTTCTTTATTATGTATTTTTATTCGCTAATTTCACCTCCAAAAACCATGAAAACGGCAGATTTACGCGAAACCTGCATGCTAATTGCGAAATTCCTATTGAAAAGCTACCTGTTTTTTAGAAAAACGTTGAATATCGCACGAATAAGGATAAATCCTAGAAAATCAAGCCCGCTTGTTTTCTCGCCTTTTCGTGGGCTTTCGAATGGTATAAAAATCATCCTGATCTGAGCTTCCCCTGGACCGCTAGAGGGGGGTGCTTTTTTTTTGGGACACCCAGTAGACGGTCGGTGGGAGCCGGAGAACGGAGAAATGTTTCAGATTGAAGCCACGAGAAAGAGAGCGGTGTGGCTGACCCCGCTTCTCCGGCGGGTCGAATGGATCCGGATCCGCGTCGTCGTGCTGGGAAGTGGATCAAAAATTCGAAAGTCGAGGAGGAGGAGGGGGAGAGGGGAGGGCAAAAGTGAATGGAGGACAGATCCGACTTTCCCTTGCCCCACACTGACTTCCCATTCTTCTGGCCCGTTTGACCTTCTTTTCGGCTGGAAAGAGGGGGAAGAGCACCACCCGGCTAGCCCCCGGAAAAGGGAACGCCGCTCGCGCGCACCGGTCCACTTTCTCACACCCACACCACGCGGGGGTGCCCCAGTGCACCCCAGTTTGAACGCGGGGTTTGGGGTTTGCGAATTTCCGACTTCATGAGCCCTTGAAAGATATGAGATAGAGAGCGAACCAGAGAGAGTGAGAGACAGAAAGAGACAGAGAGAATGCGAGAAAGAAGCGAAGAGGGGAGAAAGAGCGGGAAAGAGACACAGAGAGAGAGAGAGAGAGAGAGAGAGAGAGAGAGAGAGGGAGAGAGGGAAAGAGGGAGAGAGTGGGAGAGAGAGGGAGAGGAAGAGTGACCAAAAGAGCGAGACAGAGAGAGAGAGAGAGTACATGAGTTAGAGAGAGCAAGCGACAGAAAGAGCGGGGCCGCGCGAGTGAGAGAGAAAGATAGAGAGACAGAGAGAGAGAGAGAGAGGGAGAGAGGAAGAGGGAGAGTGAGAGAGAGCGAGAGAGAAGATTTTGGGGCCTATGGATTCCATTTTTCAGCGGAATACTAGATTTTTCTCTAAACAGTGGATGCGTTTGTGCATTGTTTTTGGCTATTCTTGGGTTTTAGGTTATTCAAAAATTTAATTGGAGCTCGAAAAATTGGTTTTTCGACCCAAATGGCCAAATTTCAGTTTTAAGGCACTTTTTCACCTTTTTTGAAACTTTTGCTACCGTAATTATAGTTAGCGGTGATAACAACAATCTAAAAATGCTCTATGTATGCTTACTAGGCCAGAACAGCCAGGAAAAAGTTGTCTGCCGCGAATCTCAAGGACCCGATTTTACGAATTTTTTACTTCACGCTGCCCTTAAATCTAAGGCAAAGCCGACGAACCAAATCGCTCCAAATTCAGGCGAACAAATATGGTTCGCTCGACTAATCGACTTGACCTGGGCCGTTTGGCTGTGTAAATAAACAAAAATTGGTGCCAGATAGGGCCCCCAGGCCCCCGCGATGGAGAGTCGAGATTTGAACTCTAATCAATCAAGAGTATTGTCGCGTAGTAAAACGTAGAAAGCCGTACACGCCATGATATTTCAGTCTCCAGCTGGCACACTCCCTTTAAACTCCGGCGGCCAGACACCCCTCCCTGCAGCACCCGCCGAAAAATGGAAAGTGACCGGGAAAAGTGAGAGCCCTGGAGATGCCCTATCCGGAAGGGGTGACTGAAATATGGGGGTCAGAAGTGAACGGGAAGAGGGACCAGAGAGAGAGAGAGAGAGAGAGAGAGAGAGAGCGCGCGAGAGAGAGACCGAGAGAGACAGAGAGCTATATAGATGGATTTCCAATCGCATAATTAGCCCGTCCTTTTAAAAACTAAATTTGAAACGGGAACTTGATCTTGAGAGGAAGTTTAAGCCCAAACCCAAGCTTACGCCGAAGCCTGTGCCTCTGTCTAAGCCTAGGCACCCCTATTGGCACGCAATCTTCCCAAAGACCATTCAAGCCTTCCCAGTCCCTTTAAGTAGTACGCTACAACCTCGAGAATCTCGATTTTTTTTTTCGATTCCTCGCTGGGCAGCAAGCCAAAATGCCGACAGTAAGAGAAAAATGCCGACCAAACGCACATCATGTTTCAGAAAAAAAATTAAAAAACTCAGTTTTCATATACAAAGCCGATCGCGCTACAATCTTAAGGATTCCGATTCGAACTCGCCCAATTTCACACGCACCACTTTCGCTGAACGAGATGCGCAATGGACGGGAGGTGAAAGGAGAAATCGAAATCCGCAGTGACCCAATAGAAGACGCCGGGGGTACTGGCCGGCACTTTCCCTCTTCGCCCTGTCCCCGCATCGACCTGATCATCCTGGATAAACCGCGGAGCTCGCGCTCTTTTTTGTGAAGCAGAAACCTGCCAATATTGCGCCGAATTTCTGGCTGTTCTTGCGCAGGGACTGTACTGTTAGCGGGGGGGTTAAGAGGGAAAAGCTAATTTTTCCCGGGAATCCTGTACGATCCCATAACCGAAAATAAACCATTTTTTAACGTTTTACACAGTTTTTAAATACAAAAAGCTTTTCAAAAAAAAATTCGTTAAATTAAATTATTGGGTTTTTGGGCAAAAATCTACGAAAATATCCAAAAAAGTAAAAATTGTCGAATTTTTTATATATATTAAAGCGTTTTTTGTAAATTTTTAGCTATCAAAAACTATTTAAAACATTGTAAAAACACATTATTTATCATGAACAGGTGGGAATAGACGAAAAAAATAAGTTTACCTCCTGCAAACTCCCCGCCTCAACCGTTTATTTCTTCGTTTAACAACGTAAGATACGAAAAATAACAGAAAAAATTAAACAAAAATTATTCTTTATGGTGAAATCCCGGTTTCTTCTTCTTTCGGCCATTTCTCGAGGCACTCGTACCTATCCAGCGACTTCTTCTCTCGTCGAAGCTCTACGTTGCCGTGCTCGCAATTTTGTGCGAGAACAATTTCGACTTTGTCGATAATGGCCTTGCCAGGCGGGCGTAGAAGACCGGTAAGTAACTGAAATAATTGTGTACGAAACTAAACAAACCAGAGCTTCGTTTTCTCAAAGCTTAGGCTTAGGCTTAGGCTTAGGCTTAAGTCAGGCTTTGGCGTATGCTGAGGCTTAGGCTTATCGTTGCCCGTAGGCTTCGGTTCTGCTTAGCCTTAGGCTTATGCTTAGGCTAAGGCTTAGGATCGGGCTTAGGCTTAGTGAGGCATATTTTTATGCAAATACTACCTTAGTTCTGCGATAGAACGCCACTTGGTCCTCGGCGCTGACGCTGTTTTCAAGCAAATCTCGCAGTGCATCGGTGAGACGGTATTCAGCGGGCTGAAAATTCAACGGAATCCAATTTAGCTTCGAGCACACTTCGTAGCGAAAAACCAGACATGGCAAACGGCCGGACCGGCGGCTTCTTTCGGCCGTGCGGCTGGGCCGGCCGGAATTGCCATGTCTGCGAAAAACTGCTCCACATTAGGTTATTTCTATTGACCTGTTGATCATGTTCAAGCCAGTTTTCGATTCCAATCGTCGTGATACGCACTTTCCTTCCGATGGGACGATACTAAATGGCACAATCTGACGCTTCACTTCTGAGACTACCGTAACCAAAGCGGCTTCGAGGACTAGTGTGGCCACTTCCAAGGCCGGCACCCAGCAACTGTTGAAACGGTAGCCTAGACCGACGGAAATTCTCGGAATGTGGGCAATCTGAAACTCGACGGGTTTTTCTTGACGAAGAGGCCGAGGGAGGATCCCTTTCCGGAAGCGTCTAGCTCACCTGCTCGAACACTGCGCAATACTCCGGATTGGCTGGCGAAACAGCCGGGAGAATGCACAGTCCACCAAACAAAAGCCGAATCTGTAAAATTGTGAGGCTTGCAATTGCAAGTCTGTCAAGCTTCTGATTGGCTTATTTTCTTTTCGTCGAAAATCCTTTAGTCCAAATTTCAAGTTTTTGCCTCGAATATTCATCTCAAATGGAAGTCTGGGTTAGAGTGCAGTGCACCCCCCTCCCTGCCAGCCGGCACCCAAAATTTTTTATCTCGGCTCCCTGTTCATCTACAGGTGTGTAACACATACCAAAATACTGGCAAGAGTCAGACGAACATTTTGGTATACTTTACACACCTGTAGATAAACAGGGAACCGAGATGCGGTAGGTGGGGGGGGGGGGGGGGGGGGTAAACTGCACTCAAACCGCAACCTGTCAAAATCTCGAAACTCAGAATCTCGGAAACCAGGAGCTCGAAAATCAGAATCTCGAATTTTCAGAATCGCGAATTTTTAGAATATCTAATTTTCAGAATCACGAATTTTTAGTATCTCGAAATTTTCAGGGTATAAATCAGCATTAAAGGCTGCGTAATTGCACGCCTACACCCTGAATCAAGCATAAGCCTATTTCGAGATTCTCAAAATTCGAGATTTTGAAGATTCGAGATTTTGAAATTTCAAACTTCTGAAAATTTGAGGTTCTGATTTTCGAGATTCTGATAGGTATTCATCTCAAAAATTTGGCAGATTCAAATTTCAGTGCATTGAGATTTCAATAAGATGTTATTTTCAAAAATTGAATTCGGCAAATTAAAATTTCGACAAAGTGATATTATGACAAATTTCGAACAGAATATCGACAAACTGGTGGCAAATCCTTACGTGATGAGGTTGATGGGGTCGTAGTCGCTCGTCTTGTAGTATCGGACAAAGTTCTTCCAAGGGTTCACTGTGACAAACCGTCGTGGATTCCTGATACACGCACAACGCGTCACGATAGATGGGAGCATTCTGGAAGCATGGAAAATTCAGACTCCACTCTCGTCAGAAGCAATCGCGGAAAAAATTTTCATAGGTCTAGTTTTTCAAATATCAAAAGTGGAAGTGTTTTAACTGGTTTTTACTCTCTAAACGTGAAAACTCTACAAAATTGTGTTTAAAAATACCTAAATAATGATTTGTCGACCAAAAAAATAGCCGATTTTGAACCAAAATGTCTACTTTTTAAGTTTTTAGGTAGGTTTCCTAGCTGAAATATAGTTACTTTTTGCCAAAAACACTATTAAAACATTTTCTATGAAGATCCTAGACATTTCTAGACATACAAAAAAGTTCGGCTCCTCCCCCGATAATGCCAAAGAACCAGTCTTCCAGAAAACGACGCACCGGCCCATCATCGCCGTCGCAGCTGAAAGAGACATCGTGTTGTGGCAACGTCTCCAGCAATCGATTCAGGAATTCGCATTCAGCTTTCGCGCTGCCCATCTCTCTCGTGAATTCCCAATCGCTAGCGCCAATCGCCGGGTTTGAATCACTGCTGTCAACAGAATTTTGGAAACCGAATAACGAAAATAAATGGCTACATCGATAACTAACAGATAGTCGACATTATGACATTTCGACATTATGAAATTTCGACATTATGAATTTCGACATTATGAGTTTCGACGTTATGAATTTCGACATTATGATACCAATTCGTCACGGCTAACCTACTTTTTCATCCACTTAAATGTCATCGGCAGCGTTGGATTCCAGAGATAAATGATGATGCCGGGAGTATGCAAGACAAAGATGCTGCCGGTACCGCCGGAAGTCTAAAAGCAGCCTAGTCTAGGATCTGGGGAGCTTGGGATCTATTTTTCCTATGGGTCCAAGATGATTAATCAAAAATAAACACAAAAACTTAAAAACAATCAGAAAACGGTTTGAAGAGCAGATAATTTAGCCATTTTCAAATATAAACAGTGGAAGTGTTTCTAAATGGTTGTTTAATACTCCTAAATGTGTAAACTTTACAACATTTTATTAAACCCAGATATCAAAACATATTGTTTTTCGACCGAAAATGTCCGTTTCCACCAAAATTTTTGACGTTTTTCAAGTTTTACGATAGTTTTCTAGTTGAAATATAGTTATATATTAGAAAAAACACTATTAAAACACACGTTATGGCTTACCATAGAGCGGGACGGTCCACGGGTCGCGACGAATTTCAGTCGGGTCCGCATCAAAAAGTGATGAAGCACCTCTTCGCGGAATACCTCAATAGAAAAAGTTTAAGAAATACTTGGGAGACAAACCCTCGAGGACCGACGCAGCAGCAACTTTTCGTCCCGACGGACGCGTAGCAGGACGCGCGATTTTAGAAGCCCGGTCAGCTTCGCAAAATCGAAGCGTGTAGGTTCCGGCATCCTGAAAATTTCTTTTTTTTATTAATAAACGGAGCTGTTTCGTTAGCCGTGGGGGGATTTACTGAACAGCCTCGCTTAGGGATCGAATCCAATAGGATTGACATGCCTATGTTCAAGGCATCTGCCATTTTCCTGTAATTTCTGAGTAATCTGGCCGGGCACCTGTCCGATAATAGTTCATACATCCACTAATGGTTGCAGAACCCAGGTTTAAAACCCGACATTCTAATCTGTGATTTGTGACTTTGATTCTTTGCACTTTGTTACTTTGTATTTCCGATCCTATAAGCGAGAAAAGTTGGAATTGGATTTCGCAAGCCGTGGTTCCAGGCCGTCATTGGATTCCCCGATCAAATTTCGGGCTGTTTTCCAGGTTCTCCGCTTGCCTGATTTAGGCTTATTTAGCGGGACTTCCTTATCGCGCCGTAAGCAAAAGTGAGGCTTGCCGTTGGCTGTAGAGAAAAAGTCAAGATCGCACACTCTCGCGCCGCAGGCACAATCCAAGAGCAAATCCAGTGTCAAGCGCCGCAGGCTCAAAGTTTCTAGCGCAAAGCTGGCTCTGGCGCCGCAGGCCAAAGATGGTTCCTTGACTCACAAGGGAAGTGCACGACCGGCCCACGAGAAATCGACACGATAGATAGTGGATCTGATAGAATCGGACACGGGGATTCCGAATCTGTAATCAGAATTTGCTAAATAAAACGGGGAAAAAAGTTATGAAGCTTAAATTTTGGCAAAATCGCCCAAAATCGGACTTTTATGGGCCTGTAAAGGCCCAGGGAATGGAAATTTGCCACAACCCATTAGTGTATCTTGTTCAGCAGAAAAACGCTTTCGAATGAGCTATCTTACTTCAAGTTTACAATGATTTCGCGAAAATCTCTTCTATGAACTTGACAGGCCATACCCTTGCCCGTGAATCCAAAAAAACTTTTTTCAGTGAATTGTTTGCAAATGCTACGTATTACAGCTCATTCGAAAGCGCTTTTTCTGCTGAACAAGCTGCACTAATTCTTTTCTCCTCAATTCCGTTCCACCGGTTTTTACGGGCCCTTAAAGGTACGATTTTTGGCGATTTGGCCAACTTTGAAGCCTCATAACTTTTTTCTCCGTTTTATTTAGCAAATTCTGATTACAGATTCGGAATCCCCGTATCCGATTCTATCAGATCGACTATGTCTCATGTCGATTTCTCGTGGGCCGGTCGTGCACTTCCCTTGTCAGGCTCTTGCGCCGCAGGCTAAGAGAAAGGAAAGACGTTCATTCATGCTAAAGTCTCAATTCAAAGCTTTATTCTGCTAACATTTAGTAACGTAAGATACGAAAAACAACAGAAAAACATGTAACAAAAATCATTCTTTATGGTGAAATCCCGGTTTCTTCTTCTTTCGGCCATTTCTCCACGCAATCGTACCTATCTAGACACTTCTTCGCTCGTCGAAGCTCTATGTTGCCGGGCTCGCAATTCTGTGCGAGAACAATGTCGAATCTGTCGGTAATCGCCTTGCCAGGCGGGCGTAGAAGACCGCTAAGTAGCTGAAATAATGTGTATTCTTCGTTCGTTAAAAATAAACAAAACAGAGCTTCGTTTTCTCACAGCCGAGGCTTAGGTTTAGGCCTAGGCTTGTGGCTGGGCGTAGGCTTAGACTTCGTCTTATCTTAGGCTTAGGCTTCGGCTTAGACTTAGCCTTAGGCTTAGGTTTAGCCTCAGGCTTCAGGTTAGACTTAGGCTTAGGATTGGGCTTAGGCTTAGTGAGGCATATTTTCACCCAAATTTTACCTTAGTTTGGCGATTTATGGAAACCTCGTCCGCGGTGCTGACGCTGTTTTCGAGCAGATTTCGCAGTGCATCGGTGAGACGGTATTCAGCTGGCTGAAAATTCAACGGAATCCAATTTAGCTTCGAGCACAGCTCGTGGCCATTTTTTGACCTGTTGATCGTGTTTCAGCATGGCATCGATCCCAATTGTCATGATTCGCGCTTTACCCCCGATGGGACGATACTAAAGGGCACAAGCTGACGCTTTACACCTAAAACTACCGTAACCAAAGCGGCTTCGAGGATCAGTGTGGCCACTTCCAAGGCCAGCACCCAGAAATTGTTGAAACCGGAGTCCAGACCAAAGGAAATTCTCGGAATGTGGGCAATCTAAAAACTCGAGAGATTTTCTTAATAACTCGATCGCGCAAAATCCGCCTAGTTGCCGTCAATTTTGGCGGGGAAGCTCCAAAATATCCACATTCGAAATGCTGACAGCGAAAATTGCTGAATTACCGCTTTTGCTGAATTCGCCGGGATTTCAGCTGTCGGGGCTTTGTCATGTCGACATGACTGCCCGAATCCGGAATAGAAACGCTGAAAAATATCGACTTTCCAAATACCGACGACCAAAATACCGACAGCCAAATGACAGAAGCCCAAACGACAGTGTGCTCACCAAATGCGCCCCCGGATGTCTGCTGTCGGGATTTTGCCACAAGTCAATAAAATGTCGATCAGGCACCTCCCAAACCCTTGCAGAGAATGTCTAGCTCACCTGCTCGAACACTGCACAATAATTCGCCCTGGCTTGTGGAACAGCTGGCAGAATGTTCCATCCACCGAGCAAGACGACAACCTGAACAAAATTGTGAGGTGTCTCGTGTAAAAGTGAAGTCTACCCCCCCCCCGGCCCCCGAAAGCAGCTTACAAAGAGACATTTAGTGTCGTCGGAACTTTGGCATGGGACCAAGCCTATCTTGCACAGAAATTTTACGCTGATTCTGAATATGGCGACCGTTCCTGCGGAATAGCCATTTTTCGAAAGTTATGAACGATTTAAACCTCCAAACAACCCAAAAAGCGGCTACTTTCGATAAGCATAAAAGGTTTCGGAATAGGTTTTAGAGGCACCCAGATAGCGCATCTTGTTCAGAAAAAAAAAATGCTCTATCAAATAAGCTGATTAACTCAAAAATGTTGAATTTTGAAATTTTTTTTAATTATTGGCCTCCAATTTATCAAATCTTCCAACTTTTCAAGGATTTTGAGTTAATTAGCTTATTTGATTTTTTTCTAAACAATTTGAGTAAAAAAATTCCGGAAGCGCAAAAAAGAGGCGAGTCGACTTTCCGAGAGCTTTCCAGAGGGACCTAATCGGAAACGGGTATACAAGTATTTGGACAAACCTAGAGTTTGCCAAGCGTCAACTTGACTCGTTTTTTTAAAATTGCGAAGTTCACACTACGAAGAACATTAAGCCGGCATTTTTGGATTGGAATTTGCGAGATTTTTACTTAATTCGTTCCTAAAAACTTTGACATCTTGTACTGACTCACGTCATTATGAAAAGTCGCCAATAATCAATTGCGAAATTACTGTAGTCAATGCGTCAACTTACGTGATGGGGCTGCCCGGGTCGAAGTCGCTCCTTTCGCAGTACCGGACAAAGTTTTTCCAAGGGTCCACTGTGACAAACAGTCGTCGAATTGCGATACACGCACAACGCATCGCGATAGATGGGAGCATTCTGCAAGCATGGGAAATTCTGACTCCCTCTCATCAGAAGCAACCGTGGAAAAAAATTTCTGGGTCTAATTTTTCAAATTGGAAACGTGTCTAAATCGTTTTTATTATTCCTAAACTTGAAAACTTTACAAAATTGTATTAAAATATCGAAAAAATATTGATTCTTCGACCGAAAATAGCCGATTTTTCACCAAAAATTCTACTTTTCAAGTTTTTAGATAGTTTTTCTACTTTTTGCCAAAAACACTATTAAAACATTTTCTATGAAGATCCTAGACATTTCTAGACATACAAAAAAGTTCGGCTCCTCCCCCGATAATGCCAAAGAACCAGTCTTCCAGAAAACGACGCACCGGCCCATCATCGCCGTGGCAGCTGAAAGAGACATCGTGCTGTGGCAACGTCACCAGCAATCGATTCAGAAATTCACATTCAGCTTTCGCGCTGCCCATCTTTCTCGTGAATTCCCATTCATCATCGCCAATCGCCGGGTTTGAATCACTGCTGTCAACAGAATTTTGGAAACCGAATAACGAAAGTAAATGGCTACATCGATAACTAACAGATAGTCACGGCTAACCTACCTTTTCATCCACTTAAATGTCATCGGCAGCGTTGGATTCCAGAGATAAATGACGATGCCGTTAGTATGCAAGACAAAGATGCTGCCCGGCCCCTTGGAAGTCTAAAACCAGGCTAGTCTAGGATTTGGGGATTTTGGGGCCTATGTATTTTTCCTATGGGTCCAAGTTGGCCATTAATCAAACATAAAGTGTTTTATATTGTTTTTTAGTAAGTTTAACTATATTTGCAGCACAAAAACTTTAGAAAAGTTAGAAAATTTTTTGAAAAGCCGAAAATTTAGCCATTTTCAAATATAAACAGCGGAAGTGTTTCTTGATGCTTTTTAATATTCCTAAATGTGTAAACTTTACAACATTTTATTAGAGCCAGATATCAACATGTTGTTTTTCGACCGAAAATGTCCGTTTCTACCAAAATTTTGACGCTTTTCAAGTTTTACTATAGTTTTATAGTTGAAACCAGGGTTGAAAAGCCGCTTCGCGACTTTTCAACCCTGCCCCCCCCCGTCTAGCCCCGTGAGGGTTCTCAATTTGCATAAATTTCCGATGACAGATTCAGATTCCGATGACAAAAAATGAAAACGCGGCTTCGTTCCCATTATATAGAATACGGCCATTTCCGGTGTATGCTCATTGATTCCTAACAAAGAGGTCGAGCGAGATTTTCACAAAAACCTAATTTTAATATCGAAAACAGCTGATTTTCAAAATCTGATAGGTGTGCAGTCGTGTGATGACCATTACGCGCCTAATGACGCATCATACATACCCTGAACTACTTTCCTTATTGAGATACGATTGGAACATACGGACGGAAGTTGCATGCAAATGTATATACACACACAAACAATATTTTTTTAAATATGGTAAGATATAGTTATACATTAACAAAAAACACTATTAAAACACGCGTTCTGGTTTACCATATTGCGGCACGGTCCACGGGTCGCGACGAATTTCAGCCGGGTCCGCATCAAAAAGTGATGAAGCACCTCTTCGCGGAATACCTCAATAGAAAAAGTTTATGAAATACTTGGGAGACAAACCCTCGAGGCTCGACGCAGCAGCAACTTTTCGTCCGGACGGACGCGAAGCAGAACGCGCGATTTTAGAAGTTCGGTCAGCTTCGCAAAATCCAATCGTGTAGGTTCCGGCATCCTGAAAATTTTTCTAAATTAATAAGCGGAGCTGTTTCGTTAGCCGTGGGGGATTTACTGAGCAGCCTCGCTTAGGGATATCCAATAGGATTGACATGCCTAGGTTCAAGGCATCTGCCATTTTCCTGTAATTTCTGAGTAATCTGGCCGGGCACCTGTCCGATAATAGTTCATACATCCACTAATGGTTGCAGGGTTCTTTAGGATTTCCGGGGGAAAGTATTTCCGGGGGGGGGGAAACCAAATTTTTTCCTGGTTTTCCCGGTTGACCTAGTAATCAAATATAAAGTGTTTTCACATTGTTTTTAGTAAATTTTAACTATATTTAAAGTAGAAAAACCTTTCAAAAAAGTTAGAAAAATGTTTGAAAAAGTCGAAAATTGGTCATTTTGGGTCTTTCCCCCCCGCTAATCCTAAAGGTTCTATAGGATTTTTCGACCTAAAATCAAAGTCTTTAATTAAAATGTGGGTAGTTTTTATGCCCAGGAATAGTTAAAAACCATTTAGAAACGCACGCGCTATTCAGAAAAAAAATTTAGGCTTGGGCCGAAAAAATTTGGTTTCCCCCCCCGGAAATACTTTCCCCCCCCGGAAATCCTAAAGAACCGGTTGCAGAACCCAGGTTTAAAACGCGACGTTCTAACCTGTTATTTGTGACTTTGATTCTTTGCACTTTGTTACTTTGTATTTCCGATCCTATAATCGAGAAAAGTTGGAATTGGATTTCGTAAGCCGTGGTGTCCAGGCCGACACTGGATTCCCAGATGAAAATTTTAGGCTTATTGATCGGGACCTCGTTCTGGCGCCGTAGCCAAAAGTGAGGCTTGCCTTTGACTGTAGCGCCGCGGGCCAGCTAAAAAGTCCTCGCCCGCGCTATCGCGCCGCAGGCCGAACCCAGGAGAAAACTCGCCGCAGTCTCAAACGTTCAAGCGAAAAGCTAGCTGGCGCCGCAGGCCAAATGATGTTGCCTTGACTCAGGCTCTTGCGCCGCAGGCTAAGAGAAAGGAAAGATGTGAATTCATGATTCCTGGACGGCGCCCAGACCGCGAAGCGGACTTTCTCCACTGTTCCTAGAGAAATATAGAAAGTAATTGTATGACTTTATTAAATGACCCTTACACAGAATACACAAGTAGGGCTACTCAACCAAAAAAACAACACAGACACAATAGCACAGGAATAGTTCTTTGGGGGACTCTTGCAAGAAAAACAGGGGTGAAGGCACTAAAAATGGGTACCCATGCATCTTGCGGACGAGTGTTGGGTGCGACACCCGCCCGGATCACAAGGCTTTAACAATGAACGAATTTTTTTCGGGGGGCAAAACAACAAACAATCGTGGGGGAATAAATAGAATCTTATTCGGTTCAATTAAAAGCGACGACCGGATCCCCAAACGCCGGTCGTGCCGGACATGGCCGGGGCGCCGCCCATCTCCGGGAAGTCGCCGTCCGACAGCTGCCATGGGGCGTTCTTGACTTGGACGGATTGCTGCTTGGGCTTCTGCTCGGCCACCGGGGCACGCTGCGACATGTACTGGCTCTGAAAAAAGAATTTATAATTGCAAAGAACACATTTTGCGCGCAAAATCAAAACAAATTTGCAAAAAAAAACTCACGCGGTCCTGATGCTCGGCAAGATAGTCTTCCTCCTCTTGGCGCAGGTAGTCGATGCAGTCCCAGACGGAGTCCTCGTTCTTTCCGGCCACCACGACCTTGTTCGGGTCGGCGTCATCGCGGGACAGCGTGATTTCGACGCCGAATTCGTCCATGACGCGCTTCAGGTTCTTGCCGCGTTGGCCGATGAGGCGCGGGTGGAAGCGGGCATCGAGCGAGATTTCTTGAGTGACCATCGACTTGAGGGCGGCGAGCATCTCCTCGATTTCTTCGGCGCAGGCACGCGCGTTGGCTTCATATCCCTAAAAACGAAGATTAGATAGACTGCCAAAAAGAGAGAACGCCGCTCAGTCGTGTCATATCATCCGGAAATTAGAGGAAACAAGAGAATGGCTTCAAGAAAAGGGCAGGCACGCAGACTACTCAGTTCCCAAAGACAAAAACAACACCTGGATGGTGATCTTGTCCGAACGGTCCTCGCCGCGTGGCAGCGAAATCTGGACGTCGTGCTTCTGGCGGATCTGGTTGACGGTGGCTCCGCGGGGTCCGATGATCTTCTGGTGGTAGATGGCGGGAATCTAAACAGGCGTTTGACCCACGAACACAAACCAAAGCTCACCTCAAGCTCCAGCTCTCAAAATCCCGAAATTAGGTAAAAAATGGCGATTTACGGGATTTTTAGTGGTTTGGTAGTGTGTAGTCTGTAGTCTGGCTGACAGAAAGCCTGTTTCCGCGATTTTGTAGTCTGTAGTCTAAAAATTACCAAAATCCGGATTTTTTAAGTAAATCCCGAAATTAGGTAAAAAATGGCGATTTTCGGGATTTTTAGTGGTTTGGTAGTGTGTAGTCTGTAGTCTGGCTGACAGAAAGCCTGTTTCCGCGATTTTGTAGTCTGTAGTCTAAAAATTACCAAAATCCGTATTTTTTAAGAAAATCGCGAAATAGGTAAAAAAATGGAGATTGTCGGGATTTTTAGTGGTTTGGTAATGTGTAGTCTGTAGTCTGGCTGACAGGAAGCCTGTTTCCGCGATTTTGTAGTCTGTAGTCTAAAAATTACCAAAATCCGGATTTTTTAAGAAAATCGCGAAATAGGTAAAAAAAGGCGATTTTCGGCATTTTTCGGTATTTTCCGGATTACGGTAGTTTCCAAATGACGGTTTTTGCCTTAATTGGGTTACGGTGGCTTCAAAATCGTCATTTTTAGCGATTTTCCCTAAAAATCTCGAAAAACCGGAATTTCCCCAAAAATCGTCATTTTTAGCGATTTTCGCTAAAAACCTCGAAAAAACGAAAAATCGGCATTTTTCGGTATTTTCCGGGTTACGGTAGTTTCCAAATGACGGTTTTTCCCTTAATTGGGTTACGGTAGCTTCGAAATCGTCATTTTTAGCGATTTTCCCTAAAAATCTCGAAAAACCGGAATTTCCCCAAAAATCGGCATTTTTCGGAATTTTCCGGGTTACGGTAGTTTCCAAATGACGGTTTTTTGCCTTAATTGGGTTACGGTGGCTTCAAAATCGTCATTTTTAGCGATTTTCGCTAAAAATCGCCAAAAATCGAAAAATCGGCATTTTTCGGTATTTTCCGGGTTACGGTAGTTTCCAAATGACGGTTTTTGCCTTAGTTGGGTTACGGTAGCTTCGAAATCGTCATTTTTAGCGATTTTCGCTAAAAATCTCAAAAAATCGGCATTTTTCGGTATTTTCCGGGTTACGGTAGTTTCCAAATGACGGTTTTTGCCTTAATTGGGTTACGGTGGCTTCAAAACCGTCATTTTTAGCGATTTTCCCTAAAAATCTCGAAAAACCGGAATTACCCCAAAAATCGGCATTTTTCGGAATTTTCCGGGTTACGGTAGTTTCCAAATGACGGTTTTTGCCTTAATTGGGTTACGGTGGCTTCAAAATCGTCATTTTTAGCGATTTTCGCTAAAAATCGCCAAAAATCGAAAAATCGGCATTTTTCGGTATTTTCCGGATTACGGTAGTTTCCAAATGACGGTTTTTGCCTTAATTGGGTTACGGTGGCTTCAAAATCGTCATTTTTAGCGATCTTCGCTAAAAATCTCGAAAAATCGAAAAATCGGCATTTTTCGGTATTTTCCGGGTTGCGGTAGTTTCCAAATGACGGTTTTTGCCTTAATTGGGTTACGGTGGCTTCAAAATCGTCATTTTTAGCGATTTTCCCTAAAAATCTCGAAAAACCGGAATTTCCCCAAAAATCGTCATTTTTAGCGATTTTCGCTAAAAACCTCGAAAAAACGAAAAATCGGCATTTTTCGGTATTTTCCGGGTTACGGTAGTTTCCAAATGACGGTTTTTCCCTTAATTGGGTTACGGTAGCTTCGAAATCGTCATTTTTAGCGATTTTCCCTAAAAATCTCGAAAAACCGGAATTTCCCCAAAAATCGGCATTTTTCGGAATTTTCCGGGTTACGGTAGTTTCCAAATGACGGTTTTGCCTTAATTGGGTTACGGTGGCTTCAAAATCGTCATTTTTAGCGATTTTCGCTAAAAATCGCCAAAAATCGAAAAATCGGCATTTTTCGGTATTTTCCGGGTTACGGTAGTTTCCAAATGACGGTTTTTGCCTTAGTTGGGTTACGGTAGCTTCGAAATCGTCATTTTTAGCGATTTTCGCTAAAAATCTCAAAAATCGGCATTTTTCGGTATTTTCCGGGTTACGGTAGTTTCCAAATGACGGTTTTTGCCTTAATTGGGTTACGGTGGCTTCAAAACCGTCATTTTTAGCGATTTTCCCTAAAAATCTCGAAAAACCGGAATTACCCCAAAAATCGGCATTTTTCGGAATTTTCCGGGTTACGGTAGTTTCCAAATGACGGTTTTTGCCTTAATTGGGTTACGGTGGCTTCAAAATCGTCATTTTTAGCGATTTTCGCTAAAAATCGCCAAAAATCGAAAAATCGGCATTTTTCGGTATTTTCCGGGTTACGGTAGTTTCCAAATGACGGTTTTTCCCTTAATTGGGTTACGGTGGCTTCAAAATAGCGTTTTTAGCGATCTTCGCTAAAAATCTCGAAAAATCGAAAAATCGGCATTTTTCGGTATTTTCCGGGTTGCGGTAGTTTCCAAATGACGGTTTTTGCCTTAATTGGGTTACGGTGGCTTCAAAATCGTCATTTTTAGCGATTTTCCTAAAAATCTCGAAAAACCGGAATTTCCCCAAAATCGTCATTTTTAGCGATTTTCGCTAAAAACCTCGAAAAAACGAAAAATCGGCATTTTTCGGTATTTTCCGGGTTACGGTAGTTTCCAAATGACGGTTTTTCCCTTAATTGGGTTACGGTAGCTTCGAAATCGTCATTTTTAGCGATTTTCCCTAAAAATCTCGAAAAACCGGAATTTCCCCAAAAATCGGCATTTT